ACACATTAAACTCTCCCTGACTTGTTTGTAAAGCGTTCTTTAAGGCCTGAATTGAGTCTTCTGTTGTGTAACGGAAAATCCCATTTCCAAAAAGGGGTCAGTTTAATAGTCCTTATCATATTATCGCACTGTGCTTGCATGCTAGGACCTAATTCTCTTTCTACATGTTTTAGCTCCATATTAGCAGGGTTCACTAACATGGTTGGTTGATCCAGTTTAAGATTTTCAATATCTACCATTACTATTTCCAACATTCCTTTTCCCTGAATATCAGGTCTAACAATGTGTTTTCTTTTAGGAGTATTAGATGGGATACTCATAAGTGGCATTTGTGAGCTATCATCTCCGTAGAGTGGAGGTAGGGTCTCAGACATTATACCACCTGCTTGTTGCTCTCTGTCTCTATTTCTTCTGCAATTCTTCACCCACAGTTCTTTTTACTGGATTTTTCTCTCAAGTATTACACAGATTTGACTTAAAAAAATCACACAGAGCTTTTCATACCTTATCATATTACAGTCAGGCAAATTTTTATTGTGCGATGTTTATTTCAACAGATAGCGTGACTTCCAGAAGCAAGCTTCTACAATCCCCTCACGGCGATTGCGACTTCAGGCAAGGAGTTAAAACTCAGTCAACAAAATGTCTTTATCGTCACGTTTAATCAGCCTGATTATCCCCACAACAGTTTTGTGATGAGATTCGGTCGTTCCAAATAATTAGTTGGAGGTCGCGTCTCTCTCCTCCTCTATCACCCACCATATAACAATTACAGAAATTTTATACATTTAAAGCACCACGAAAGGTAACCGCATTAATCAATCTTATCATGATCTGCGGGGAATTTAACCCTTCTGTTTTTTACACCTTCGTAGTCTTTAATTAAAGCACTGTAAAGCAACCGTATTAATCAATGTTATTTTGACTTACGGGGAATTTAACCTATACTTCTTTTACAGCCTTACAGTCTTCGTATTTAGTGAGTGAAGGGCCGGGACTTATCTACCCGCCTCACTCAAACACTATTTTTGCTCTAGGTCCAGGACTGAATACCCTTCTCTAAGCACTTCCCCAATATCCCCAACTTGTAATATGTATTGTATTTCCCACCGTGACTAAGAACACTGAGAACGCTGCTGACAACTCTAAAATTTTTAGTATAATCAATCACAGATTTTTGATAGTCAAAACAGGTGTCTGCTCACCTTTTGTATATTGCCATGGTCTTAGTCGTCACCAGTATCTCTGTGTCCTCCCCCTGGACTGGATTCTGTCCCCTGGCTATCGGTGTTCCTTTCTAGAGATCAGCTCCCATCACGTCGGGAAAGTCACCACTTGTTAAGTACAACATTTACCCACAAAATATAGTGGAGTAAAAGTATAAAGATGCATAATGTGCAAATACTCAAGTTAAGTACAAGTAACGCAATTTTTTGTACTCAAGTACTGTACTTGAGTAAATGTACTAAGTGACATCACACCACTGACCATCCACCATCTCAGTTTTCAGAAGCCCTCGGCTGATCTCTGGATTCCCCGTGCTGTGGCTCTGATCTCAGGTTAACCACAGTGTGTGGAACAATTGATTCTCTGTCTACTCTTGTAATAACACAAAAAGGTGCTCATCTGTCTTTAGAGTTTGTGCAGGGGGTAAAACCAAGCAGCTGTTCACTGTCTGGGAGGAAACATAGGGCAGGTCCTTTGTTTCAGAAAGCTCAGAGAGACAGGACAGGGAACGTCTGGCTGGTGGAGGAAGATACATTATGGCTTACAGAAACAATTCATCATGCATTGATTCACGCACTGACAGTGGGGGTTTGAAATTCCTCTGACAGATTGAGAGCAGAACACCTCTGCTACGCGCCGTTCGTTGGATGAGGCTGGATCTCTATTAAATTAAGAAAGGAATTGAAAACACCGGAATCAAAGTTATAACAAATTATCTGAGTTTACTTCTAGTAGGAAACCAAACACATATACAAGTTATACAGAGTACTCGAGCACTCCGGGCTTCAGGTTTGTGACGCGGTTTACAGGTAGACAGACCAGCCTTCAGGAAACGAGAAGTACAGACTTCAGGTTTGGGATGCGGTTTACACGTCTCTAGACCAGCCTTCAGCAAACCAGAAGCATTTTTACATACAAAACCAACCGTATACATATCCCTATTTTGGGGCGGAGATGTGTTGAATTGTTCCCTTCCCCTTTTATTCGACAGCGAATTAGAGAGCCCCTGGGGAGGAGCTGTTTAAGCTGCTCACCTCCCCCAAGTGTCCTGATTGGCTGGATTCACTTCTGGTCGAGGTCAATCAGAGTTCCGAACAGAGAGTGAGATCCTAAATTTCACCAGGTCAAAAGTCAACGTTTATCTCCACCTTATCTACACCACATTCCCTTCCCATGCGTTCTTCACCTATTTAACGATGTCTTTAACGACTTAAAAACAGCATCTGGCTTTTAGGGATGATAAGAAGCGATGTAATGTTGTCTTTAACGACCTTAATGACGACATCTGCTTTTAGGGGTAAAACAGACAAGGTTGGTGTGTTGGAACACAGAATCTCTGGATCAGTGAGTTTGAAAGTAAGACAGTTCAAATAATACATGTTTACTTCAATACAGTGTAGAATCATATCTTTTTACTTCAGTACTTACTCCAACATGTCGCTTTTTGCGGCAGAGCACACTGAGCTATGTGTGTTCTCAGACGCTTCGATGAAAGCAATCGGAGCTGTCGCATACCTGAAGACGGTTCAACAGGACGGACAAACTGAGGTTGGATTCGTCATGGGTAATTCTAGACTCGCACCCCAGTCCGAACCTACCATCCCACGATTGGAACTGTGCGCAGCTGTCCTAGCTGTTGAAATGGCAGATCTTATCCAAGACGAGTTAGACGTCAGGCTTGATGCTACATACTTCTATTGTGACAGCAAGGTAATCCTTGGTTACATCCACAATACAACCAATCGATTCTACGTCTACATTCACAACAGAGTGCAACGCATACGGCAGTCTTCAAAACCAGAGCAATGGCGTTACTTCCCGTCAAAGGAAAATCCTGTCGACCATGCGTCGAGGGCCTTACCTGCTTCCTGTCTCGCACAAACCAACTGGTTCACCGGACCGCCTTTCCTGAGATCACTACCTGTCGAGAAAGCTCCAACATGTGAAAAATGCAATCTGATAGAACCGGAAGATGACACTGAAATCAGACCAGAGGTACAAACCTACAATACTCACCTGAACGAAGATCTACTTACCCCAGGCCGCTTCCAGCGCTTCTCCAGCCTCCACTCACTCCTAAGAGGCGTTGCTTTCCTCATCCACATTGCCAGATCTTGCATACAGACGAACACAAACAGTAAGTTTGTTTGTAGCCTTTATTTAACCAGGTGAAAAATCCCATTGAGATCAACGATCTCTTTTTCAAAGTGCAAAGGTTGGCACTCGTGTAAACATCCTCGTACCCCAGAGGAACTGGACCAAGCAATGCATGTTGTCCTCCAAGCGACACAAAGGTCAGTCTTCGCAAGGGAACTTGCAGCTCTCCAAGTGCAAAAACTAATACCCAAAAACAGCTGTCTCCAACAGCTCAGCCCGATCATTGAAGACAAGTTAATCCATGTCGGAGGCTGCCTACGACACACCAACCTGGATACCAATGAAAGGCATCCCATCATTTTACCTAAAGACAGCCATGTATCACTACTGTTGACACGGCACTATCACAAACAAGTGAAGCACCAGGGTCGCCACATCACGGAGGGAGCCATAAGGGCTGCGGGATTGTGTGTCTTGGGTGGCAGGAGACTCAAACTCAGTACTCTACAACTGCGTTGCATGCAGGAAACTCAGAGGGAAGGTAGAGGAACAACTCATGGTGGACTTACCTCCCGAACGCGTTCAGGTTAGCCCTCCGTTTACATACGTGGGTCTGGATGTCTTTGGCCCTTGGTCAATTGCGGCAAGGCGGACCCGAGGCGAGCAGGCTGAAAGTCGAGTTGCATAAATGCACTCAGACGTTTCCTCGCTGTAAGAGGCCCAGCTAAGCAGTTGAGGTCCGACTGTGGGACTAACTTCATCGGCGCAAGCAAGGAACTAGGGATGGATACACGTCAGCTGGATGGAAATATTCAAAGGTATTTAAGTGAGCAAGGATGCGTCTGGGAGTTCAACCCTCCTCACGCCTCCCATATGGGGGCTGTTGGGAAAGGATGATAGGCACTGCGAGAAGAATCTTGGATTCTATGTTGCTCCAGCTAAACACTCGCCTTACTCATGAAGTGCTCTCTCATTAATGGCGGAAGTGACTGCCATCATGAATGCGCGACCACTTGGTACCAGTATCCACTGACCCCGACAACCCCCACATCTTCTCTCCATCGATGCTTCTCACACAAAAGACCGGTGTTCCACCACCTCTAGGCGACTTCACAGAGAGAGATCTGTACACAAAACAGTGGAGACAAGTCCAAGTTCTGGTAAACCAATTTTGGACCCGTTGGAAACGAGAGTACTTACCTGGTTTGCAACGCAGACAGAAATGGACATCACTTCGCAGAAACCTACAAGTTGGAGATGTGGTCCTGTGCAGAGACAAGCAGGATGTACGCAACTCTTGGCCTATGGCTAGAGTCTCCGCAACGTTCCCTGGAAAAGACGGAAACGTCAGGAAGGTCGAGGTCAAAACAGCCGACCAAGATACTGTGAAGACATTCCTCAGACCAATTTCCGAAATTGTCTTACTTCTCTCAGAGGACAAGCAAGGCCTGACTGGCTTGTATATTGTATTAAGTGACCTCACTGAGGTCAGACGGGAGTGTGGTGTTTAAAAAAACATTTAATATAATTTGTAAGGTTAAAATACTGCTTTGCAGCACCTTTCAGGTGACTTGTAACGTTTGTTTATTTGACACTGTTCATAAAGTTATTTGAATGTAACACTTCATTTCAATCTTGCATCACTTCCTGTCATGCTGTCAGAAAATGGTAGAAACTCAAGGAAGCCACATGTTTAGGCACCGTTAGGACTCATTTGCATCTGCATGAAAAGACTGATCAATCAATGTCGTAAGTAATTACATTTAATTGTTAACATGTTGTAGTTCATATATCAAGGCCTATTTGATGGAAAGATGTTTAAGAAATTAAGAAAAATGTAATGTTATATTTTATACATTTACAATGTAACTAAGGGTGTTTGAATAGACAACACAAGACTAAAATCGTTTTGCATTCTGTATTTATTGTTACAGTTTTCACTATATGTCATGGTGAAGGAGTTACCAGTAAAGTTTCTTAACTACAACGACGACTCTTTTTCTTCATTTTGAGTGGAGTTTAGCTTCGTATTAAGTCTGCGGCTCTTACGTCCGGATAAGAACACTAAAGGTACCGCAGCATCAGGACTAAAACCACCAGACTCAGGGATAGTTTCATCCCACAGGCCATAAGACTGTTAACCTGTTAAGCCCTGAGCCTGTTTTTCAGGTCTCAGGCTAGAAAATGACATTCCCAGAACAAATGACTATATCTTCCCTTTTAAAAGGGGTAAATGCATAATATTTGTTCTCAAAGCAATGATAAACCTGTGAGTTGGATGTAAAAAAGGCAGAATCAATATAGATTTTTTTAATTTGAATGTAAATTCAGATTGAACATAGTCAAAAAATTATAGTGTCCGTCCAAAAAATCTGAACTCTGCGGTCCTGCCTGACTCTCATCATACTACTTCCCTGATGGCTCCCACAGGATTGTTGATATCCTTGTGGATTCATCTTCTTATTATAGACACATGCATTTCCAAACATTTGGTCTACCTATGTTGTAAATGTATTATCTTTTCAATTTACACACGGCATCTATTGCACGTCTGTCCGTCCTGGGAGAGGGATCCCTCCTCTGTTGCTCTCCCTGAGGTTTCTCCCATGTTCCCCTTTAAACTGTGGGGTTTCTTTGGAAGTTCTTCCTTGCACGATGTGAGGGTCCAAAGATAGAGGGTGTCATATTGTCATACTGATATTCTGTACAAACTGTGAAGTCCACTGAGACAAATGTTACATTTGTGATATTGGGCTATATAAATAAACATTGATTGATTGATAAACACCTGAACTCTGTGAAGTGCCTCCATAACCCAAAGCATTCATCTGGTTGCATCTTAAAATGTATTTAATGAATTATCTTAATAGTTATCACAAGATCAAACTGTATTTAATTGTATTTCACTGTACGATATGTAATACATTCTGTTCTTGTATATCTTATTCTATTTACATGTATATAGAATCCTGCATTTACTTATCATTTAGCTTATTGTATTTATTTATTTTTCTGACATGTATAGTTAACTTCATCTGTATTACTGGTGTTGCAACACTTTACACCACTGATCATAACCACAGATATCAAATGTACAGCTATTTTCACAAAAAACAGGGAATGCCACATGAAGTTACTGTAGTAAACCCTCAAAAGCATCTCGACAGCTCATCTCTTGTGGTGCGTTCAGGTTCCTCTCCCCAGGCTGTTTCTGTCTGTCTGCTTTGGAGGAGGATACACCAACTTTTCTTTGGCTCCCTGTTTGTCGTGTGCTGGAGGGAAAGGGTTAAATCACGTGTGTAGCGCAGTTGAGCTCTGGAGCTCATAAGAAGTGTCATCTGAAGAGGACAAAGACATCTCTGCCGTCATTCATTCCTCCTCAGCTCCACTGAGCTCTCTCTGATACTGCCATTGTTTCTGCTGCGGGACAACACGATGCATACTCTCCTGTTCTGCGGCAGCATCTTCACTCTGCACCTTTTCCTCTGCGCCAAATCTGTGCCGGTCCAGGAGCGGAGCGGCAGATCCAAGCCGCTGCAGGTGAGCCCCACACAGGAGCAGTAGAACAAGGAGAGAGACACTGAGCTGGGGAGGGACTGAAGAGGATGCAGTTCAGAGGGGGAGAAGTACTCAGATCTGGTACTTAGGTAAAAGTAGAAGTACTCAGATGGTGTACTTAAGTAAAAGTAGAAGTAGAAATACTCTGTAACAGTACATGTCCTGCATTCAAAATGTTACTCAAGTTAAGTAGAAAAGTGTTATCATCAAAGTATAATTAAAGTACCAAAAGTAAAAGTAGTCATTGTGTTTCAGAATAATATATATATGTTTTATAATGATTGATCATGAAAGTGTTCTCAAAGCTGGTAAAGGTGCAGCTAGTTTGAATGACTTTGTATACTGCAGGGTAGCTTGTGCATTTACTCCAGGTGGAACTAAAGTCTGATTTAACACTTGATTAGATTTCACATCATTCATCCAGATCTGTAAAGTAACTAAAGGGATTAGATACATGTAGTGGAGTAAAAGTACACCATTTACCTCTGAATTGTAGTGGGGTAGAAGTACAAAGTATAGCAAAAAATAGAAATACTCAAAATTGTACTTCAGTACAGTACTTGAGTAAATCTACTTACTTTACACCACTGATGCTGTGTAAGTTTGACAGAGTGTACAAATATTGCATATGATGGAATCATGTTTTTCATGCAATTTAAAATAAAGCCTAGCTGCATTTCATGACAAATGTATCACAAAACTCAATAAATATTGAGTGCACAGTGCTGCCAGCAGACTGTCAGAGTGTGCAGGCAGAGGCAAGTCTGTGCTGACTCAGGAACAGCAGAAAGTAGCAGATACGAGAGAAACACATCAGGCCACAGACTCCCGAGGCTGTTTGTACATCGTGCATCAAGCGTCTTTGAGCACTGGGAAAGCTAAATATCTAAATATGATGTATTGTCATGCTGAGTATCTGCAGCAAACTACCTGCCCTGCCAATGCTAATCATGATGTTCCTTTTAGAAGCAAGATCAGGTTCATATTCCTAACAACATGCAGCAGACGCCTGACAGCACATTGTGTGTGGGCATTAAGCCCCCCCTCCAAAAGACACTTCTTTAATAACTGAATGATTCCTGTTCACTTCTCTAGTTTGCCGTTCTTAAATTTCATCAATAAATTCAATTTTACAGGGTATATGCAGGAATCCTGAAGACAAACTGAATACCTTTTAACCTCTTTAGCCCCACGGACCCGCCGAAGGGGCCGAAATCACAACATCTGCAAGAAAAAGTGTCTGAGGGCTTCTTAAGATTGAATAAACTATGAATGTTTCATATCTACAGTATGTAACGGGAAGAAACTCAGCTAACTGATCTTTTTTTTTCAAATAAAACCTCAAAGCTAGCGCTGAGCCTCTGAATTAGCCATGGGCATACAAATCTTAAGGCCGTTAGCACAGAACTCTAGCTATACCGATCGATATACTTATTGGATCTGCACAAACAAGCTTAGATAACATCCTGAGATTCCACAGATTATAGAAATATAAGGATCATCACTGAGCGATCAGAACTCGTGACAGGGGAAGCAAATACAGACAACACACGACGTAGCTTTAGGTAGCAAAAAACTAACGAGATATGCTCAGTTTAGCTGTTATTCTGATCAAAAGTCGTGTTCAATGGCATTAAAACGAGAAAAAACGCGGCTGAAGGTTAATCCATAGGTTAATAATGTGTCTGTCACTTTGAAAAAATTATTGATAATCCATAATTCCATTTTTATGCAAAAATCGGAGAATAAATATTAGCTGCTAATGGTAGCCACCAGAGGTTAGCACAGCTTCCGGTTTTGCTACGCGTCTCTCTCACTCCTTATTTGGTAACCTGTATGTGGAACTTTCCCTCGATTCTATTGGCTCTGACGGTTAGAAAGAGGTGTCAATCATCAAAATCGAGCAAGGGGGGCCAGAGATATGGAAAATCCACCCAAATGACCCCAGAAGTGTTTTTTTTTTTGCTAAATCTCTCTAAAAAGGTCAAATGTCACTTGTTTTGCATCAATCTTGATACAGGGTACTTATTATATGTTGTACTTTGGATTCCTAAAGCTTTTAGTCTACTAACCCATCATCCAAGGGTAGTTTTCACTATAAGTAACAAATAATTGTTGGACGGACACTATCATTTACAGTTTTTTACTATGTTCAATCTGAATTTTCTTTAAAATAAAAAACATCTATATTGATTCTGACTTTTCTACATCCAACTCACAGGTTTATCATTACTTTGAGAAAAAAGATTATTAATTTAACCCTTTTAGAAGGGAAGATATGGTCATTTGTTCTGGGAATGTCATTTTCGAGCCTGAGACCTGAAAAACAGGCTTGGGGCTTATTTAGACCTTTTTCAAGACCCTTTCCATACATTGTAAGACCTCATCGCCACTTCGAGTTCTAACCGGTTACATTGGCGACACACTTTACCTCACATTTACTATATGCAGTATTGATTGTAAGATAGCACAACTAAACAGTTTATGATAACTCCTTATCATAATTCAGATAAAACAAAGCACAAGAGAATGAACTGTGTGACCAACCCAATGCAAGGTTTATTAGAAAAAGAAACCATTAGAAAGTAGTATTTGATTTAGGCATTGTTCCCAAGAGATAAAACAGACTACTGAAGACTCCTCTCCACATGAACTTCAACCTCTCTGTCAAGGTCAGGTTTAATGCAGTATGCTGCTCTGTTGCTTCTGTAGACACACTTTGTGCTCTTTCATTCCAGTAAAACTCCTCAGAAACCATTAGAAACCAGTATTTGATCAATAAACAAAACAATTGACAAAACTTTGAACTATGAAATATATTAAACTTTGGTGAGCTTCAGCGGGGTAATGCCATATAGGAGCTCCCTCACAAATACCCAGGGGTTAAATTGGGCCGGGGCTGTAGGACGGCACATAGGACGTTGTTCTGACGTCATCACCCTCGCACATTTGTCATATGTTTACAAAAAACGATATATATGTTAAGACTTTTCTCGTTCTTAATATAGACTATATTTAGGGTCGATATGTGTTGACTTTCCTTTAAAATAGCAGATCTCTGTGACCGGATATAGTTCGGCTTAGTGAACGTGTGTCTCTTCCTTGGAGGAGCAGCATCGCCCGGACTCCGCGGCCGTTTCTCAATCGCGAGGATGCTGGCTTGGTAGCACAGCCGAGCCGAGCATCTTGCTTCAGAAGCAAGGCAAGAATACTTCCTGGCATTCGGAAAACAAAGAGTGGAACAGGCTAGCAAGTGTGCAGCTGTGCGTCATATGAGAGGCCCCGCCTTACATCTTCCGCCACAGATTTGGGGAAATTGGTCCATGCGCAAAGCATTGTGGGGATTTTAAGGACGCGAAATTTCCCCCAAACCAAGGACGCGGCCTCGGGGGAATTCCAAGTTTGCTGGAGATTGGAACAGTCCTTCGGCAGCACTCGATGACGTAGCATCCTTGAAATATTGGCTTGGAAGCCAATATCCTCGCGATTGAGAAACGGCCCGCTGCTCCTCCGCGGCTCCTCCTCTAAATGGGTGGGTTTTATTATCGCGGACTTTATGACAAGTTCCGCCCGCTGTGAAGCTTTTCTTGTTTCCATAGCAACAACAACTTCCTGTCAACAGCGTAAACTTGCCTTCAAAATAAAAGCATGCCAAATTACACTTAAGACATACAACTGCAACGAAAGTAACAAACACAATGCAATATCCTTTTCAATGTCAAAGAACACAAATTGGGTTCACAGGTGTTGTTTTGTGTGGTAGAGGGTCGCTTTCATTGATGCGTTTTGCACCCCGGGCCGTTGTTTTGTTATTCTGCTGAAGTATACGCTGTGACGTAATAACTCTTTTTTTGTTTTGTTTTTCGAGGGAAGGGTTGGGGGTCAGAGAGCCTAGGTATAAAGGTCACGGCTCGCCACTGGTCAGACAGTGAACGCTATATGTTTATCAAGCGAAAATGTATAATAATAACAACTGTATTTATGAGTAAGAGATTCAAAATAATGATATTTCTCCCTGATAGGCTTATGTGCTATAGAGTAGGGTCAGCAGTGGAATGACATTTGGACATACCCAAGTAAAGTACTACTTACGATGTATTACGTTACCCTTCACCACTGTTGAGTGTGCAGATACAGTATGTTAACAGATTGGAGTAACAGTTTAAATTAAATATGTTGTACTTCAAATCTGCATTAAATCAGTGTTTGAGTCTAACTCAGCATTTTTTAAGTTCCAGTGTAATTTAGTGTTCTATCATTGTTTTGATCAAATATTTATGAAACGCAACCTGTGTTTTGTTCAATAATGATAACAACACACAATGCAATATATTTGATGATTTGATGTATTTAAATGATTTAACAGCACTAAAACACTTTGTTTCTTCTCAACACAAAAGGTCTTTCTACATTTGTCAGGTCAGGCATGTTTTAGATTTTACATTTTGCTTGTCAGCTCCCCCAGGTTCAGTTTGTGATCTCTAGCACAGCATGTGCAGGAAGTGTAGCTTCAAACAGGCTTCATTACAAATGGATTCACTAGAACAAACCCCTTTATTAGCACTGAAGCATTTGAAAGCTTACTCACTTGAATTTCTAAGTATGTTTACATTATGAAGTAGGATGTAAGTACTTGGTTTACCACTGTCATTTATCTCCAGTCTGGACGACTCTTTATCTGCCATAGGAGGTGTGTGTGAGAGCCTGACTGTACCTGAGTAAAAGTAAAAAAGTATTTGCATTAAAAATACTTTTAGAACCAAAAGTAAAAGTATTCATTATAGAAAATGGCCATCTTAAGCACCAGGTATTTTTAAATGATTGTATTAATGTTGGGAAAATACTGAATGTACTCTTCTAATATAATAATGGGTTTCATTTATAACGCACTACATATTTGAATTCAAATCCCAAAGTGCTACAAGCAGTGAGCATGGAACAACATAAAACAGTACAAAACACGGTAGAATTAATAATAATAATAATAATAGCTTGCATTTATATAGCGCCTTTCAAGGGACCCAAGATCGCTTTACAGTAATAGGGCAAAAACAAACATAACAAAACAAAAGTCAGACAGACAAAACAACAGATCAATTAGGGGCCGAAAGCCTTGGCAAACAGATGGGACTTGAGGGCCCTTAATTGAATAAAAAGCAGTAAAATCAAACAATAAAAAATAAATAAAAGGGTAGTAATAAATCAAATAAAAGGTCTAGGAAAAGGCTCTATTGAACAGATGGGTTTTGAGGCCTTTTTTAAAAGCCTCCACGGTCTGTGGTGCTCTCATGTGGTCGGGGAGAGCGTTCCACAGACTGGGAGCAGCCGAGCAGAATGCCCGGTCTCCCATAGTACGGAGCTTGGTCCTGGGGGGTAAACTGTCATGTTTATTGCTTACGCAGGCCTTAGCTAATCTGAACTAAACATTGAATACTGCTTTGAACCAGTATTCCTCCATCTTGTGACTGTGTAACACCCTCTCTAAGCATGTGAAGAACACTATTCTGGGAACTATTTGTCCCATGCAGCTCTGTATGTGATGACTACTTCCATTCTTGCAATGATAATAAATACATGTATCCTGATATTGAAGCTCAAGCCGGTGACGAGTGAGATTTTCTTAACAATTAAATATATGAAAATGATTGGTTCATTAATGTGTTCATCACTTCAATGTTGCACTTGGTATAGGTGGGGTTTATTTAAATTACTTTATAAACTACTTAGTAGCTTAACCTATAATAATATATGATAATGTATGGGTTCATTTATATTTTGTATTAATAATCTAAATCTGCAAAGTAACTAGTAACTAAATATGTAAAATAAATGTAGTGGAGTAAAAAGTACAACATTTGCCTAAACTGTAGTGGAGTAAAGTCAAATGTCAAAACGTTGCAGTGTGGTGAATAAATCACTTCGCTCAGTGTTTTTGGTAAGTCGTAAACCCAGTCACCCCAAGTTGTGTCGGATCAGCATCCTTGGAAAAGCTTTTATAACACAGACGTGTTACAGTGCAGACAACCTGATGTCATGACTGAACCGGGGATTTCCAGACATCTGCTCACTGGGATGCAGCTTTGTGGAGCTCTTAAGAATAGATCTGCGTCTGTGTTGGTGTGTGCTGCACATTTTTTCAGTGCTGTACATGTTCATACCTGCATGCACACACCGTATTTATATGTTCTTAGATAGATTCAAACTGTAGTATTAGGAAAACAACAATGGCCCTCTGTAGATGGGATCAGCATGTAATTAGGGTTGAAGCTCGGGCACATCAGTTTTGCGAGATGGATTAACCTGTGCTGTGGTGACATGCCCGCTCCAGGATTTCCCCAGCGTTCACAGAGCTTTGTTTTGATGGCATGTGACTGTGTTTATGCTCCTGAAATGAAACCTTGCTTCTTGCCCACACACTTGCCTTAGTTCTGTCACTCACCGTAAACTGAGCTTCCTGTCAGCTACACTTGGCCCGCAGGCTTTAACTTTGATGAAGAGGTTAAAACCTCTTCAACCCTATGATGTCCATTGTTATGTATGCTGTGCATGTTGAGCGGAGTTCTCCATTGTTTCAGTGATCTGGAAAGCATTCCCCATCTTGCTTCTTCTCTTTGTCATTAAAAGGGCTAACTGAATATCTTCGGACAAGAACAAAACGTTGAAAATGTAACCTTGGGCTTTTGGAAGTTATAATGTGTTTTATTTTTAAATTGATTTTAGATTTTATAAACACAATTATTGAGACAAGACTAATCAAACTAAACATCTAAAAATGTTTAGTTTTAGTTTAACGTGATAACATCTGACATCATCAGGATTACTTCAGAAACTTTGGAAAACAAAAAGGTCTTTTTTAAGACGTTGGTCAACTTGCATCAGAGCCATACATTTACATATGATGGATACATATGTTTGGAAGACATATAGACCGCTGTGAGGATTGAACTCCTACTTTGAATATGACCTATCAGTGACCTTTATTAAAGCAGTAAACCTCCTGTCTCCTCCCGACAGAATAACGGCTGGGTTTGGCTCACCTGATTCCCTTCCAGAGACTCTGGTGTTTTGGCGGCTTTTGATTGTTCAGTATTCAAACAAACATCGAGTCATAATCCTTTTGGAAACTTTAAAGCTTTGAATAAGCATTTCACTCATCTCAGTGATTGATTGTCTTATTTGCTTTACAATCATGAAGGACAATCAACCAGTCAATAAGACTTTAAAGGAGTCCAAATAATCCTGTTAGTTTTAACGTTAGCTTCACAGCACAAAGAGATAAGGTTGTTGGGACTTTTCCTAGTTGCAGCTTAAACCCATGAATAATGTGAAAATATGTACAGGTCATTAATAAGCCTCATGAGATTACAGAAATATGCAGCATAAACACATGGGGGGGTGACGCCTCTACAGGAGACCAGATGAAACGCTACGTTTCTTTTATTACAATGATATATTTCTCTTGGAGTGAAAATAGTAGGCAACATTGGGATGGTGATACTCAACAATACAATACATGACATATCGTCACTTTTTGTAGATATTGTAGCAGTACACATAATACATCTTGAACTGTTTATTTAAGTTCTGAATTGTGTACACACACAACTGATACAGACTTACAAATGAAATAAGACATTTGATGATGAGTGATAAATACAACTATTAATAAATACAATACATACAGGAAATGTATGAATGGAGAATGGAGGATATATTCGGAAGATTTAAAGCTTCACTAACTCTGGCGTAGATTAATCAAATTGAGGTTTAAAAAGCAGAAAACAATCACATGAAGTCTGTTTCTGGTCGAGCTCAGGACAAATAAGCCTTATTCATCTGAAGGATATGAAAACTGTTAATAGAAGGATGCAACAGTTGTCCCCTGGTGACATCCTGTCAGCCACAGCAGAGTGTGTCCCGCTCCAGCTTGTTTAGTTCTTCAAATGGCTTACTCAGTGACTCTGAACCTGAGGTGTACTAGCACGGCTAGCAATCATAGGCTAATGGGACAGCTGACCATGTAGACTTCAAACTGTCTAACCAGCAAAACAGAAGACAAACAGTGAGTGACGTCACAGCGAGGAGGGAGTGTGACACACACTCAGGGGCTGTCATCACATGCATCTGAGAGAAGAAGACCGTTAGTCATAAAAACAAGCAACATTATAATGTGTATACTTCACTGCATGACACTGATTCTCAACTATTTGATGTAAGGTAACATAAGGCCATGTTATAGTTTCCTCTTCTTAGGCTTGCTGCTCAGTGGCTGTGGTCCTCCCCCCTTCCTGCCCCCTTTTGTTTAGCAAGGGGCTTGAAGGTAACTATTTTGGACAAAGTAATGTCTAACCAATTAAAGATTCTTTCATCAGCATACAAATGCACAGTTGGAAAATAATAATATTATTTATAGTCGTTTATCATGGCAAAAAAGATGATGATGGTGCCTTTGTTTGTAGGTAAAGCCGCACAGCAACGGAAACGTTGGTCTGAAGAAGAGAGGAAGACACCAACAGGAAACACTGAACAAAGATCACCATTTGAAGACTGTACTGGCATCCAAAAATGACACAGAGTTCTGGAAGCGTCCTCGCTGTGGGGTCCCTGACTATCCCAGCTTAACGCAGGTCGGCCCCTCATACTATGATCGGAAGAAGAAGGGAGGCCTGAAGAGGGAGCAGCGCAGGAAGAGATACGCTCTGTTTGGAGGCCGCTGGGAGAAGACTGACCTCACATACAAGTAGGAAGCACACATATGTTCTGTTTGTACACTGCTACATCCAGCTGGGAGAAGACTGACCTCACATACAAGTAGGAAGCACACATGTTCTGTTTGTACACTGCTACATCCAGCTGGTATGCAGGCGGGTCAACATGAAGGCTGAGTTAAGGGGTAAAGGAAAGAAGGGGTGTTTTTTACAGAAACACGCAGCATCACACGAAGGCCTGGAATAAATTGTTCGATTTACAGTTTTTTGTCGAATCAGCAGAATACGCAGTCCTAATTTGCCCACCATATCATAAATTCTAGATTCATCCTGTAATTACAATGAATGAAGGAATGATTCATTCTGTAGAGAGCAGAGTTTTAAACCTAGTCAGCACTGTGTCCTCCTGCAACTCTGTGGTGTGTGTAGAGACTGGCTGCATTACAGAGACTCCCATGCTGTTTGGAGAACCACTACCGGCCTTGATGGTTCAACTCAACAGGGACACAAGCTGCAACACAGCAGCACCCACAGAGTGTATCACTCTGGTGTGGGGGGGGTCGGCTCACGGTGTCAGTGGAGCTTGCCGGAGTTGCTGAGGTTTATATCACATCCTGCCGGTTTTGTCTGAGCTTGTCCACACAGCTGAACAACAAGAAAGAGCCCATTCTCCTATACCACGATTAACTCGTGAAATGACTACCATATATGCAAAAATACTCTCATATTTTATTGATTTTGAGTATTTGTCTTGAAGTCTGTGCACCTGCAACACGCTGGTGTTAAGAAAGGTTTCTTAAAAGTAAAACGCATGCACTAAAGGCTCACACTTCCTATAAGCAATCATAAACGATCTTTATGTTTGTCACAACAGGATTGAGCATTTCCCCTGGCAGATGAGTGAGGGCAAGGTGCGGCAGGTCCTCCAGGAGGCCTTCAGTGTGTGGAGCGCTGTCACCCCTCTGACCCTCACAGAGGTCACCTCTGGAGAGGCCGACATCATTATAGACTTCAACAGGTAGGAGAGCCAGCAGCAGCACAGCTACACACCTCACGGCTACACACATCACGGCTACACACAACACGGCTACACACCTCACGGCTACACACCTCACGGCTACACACATCACGGCTACACACAACACGGCTACACACCTCACGGCTACACACATCACGGCTACACACCTCACGGCTACACACCTCACGGCTACACACATCACGGCTACACACAACACGGCTACACACCTCACGGCTACACACATCACGGCTACACACATCACGGCTACACACATCACGGCTACACACCTCACGGCTACACACCTCACGGCTACACACCTCACGGCTACACACATCACAGCTACACACATCACAGCTACACACAACACGGCTACACACCTCACGGCTACACACATCACAGCTACACACCTCACGGCTACACACATCACAGCTACACACCTCACGGCTACACACATCACAGCTACACACCTCACGGCTACACACATCACAGCTACACACCTCACGGCTACACACATCACAGCTACACACCTCACGGCTACACACATCACAGCTACACACCTCACGGCTACACACATCACAGCTACACACCTCACGGCTACACACATCACAGCTACACACCTCACAGCTACATCTATATGTATCTACAGTATATGTATGTGTATATATAAATACAAAGGCTGTTTGAAGAGAAACCGTAGCATACAGGGAATTTAGGACAATCATTTTTTGTTCTTTTTTACATTTGTATTTGGTTCTACAAGGACAATGCAAATACATCATCATCACTGAGAAAAATGATTTTATTAATTTAAACGCAAGCATGAATCTTTCTCTCAGGAAAAGCTAAAGCAGATGTATCCAGTGAGGCAGATTAGGATCATGAATGAATGCAGCGACAGCGCCTGTTTGGCAGCGTTATTGAGAAGCCGCCTGCAGCTACACTTTTTATAAGCGCAGATGAGTCATTTTGGCATTTGGTTTACGATACTTTCACGTGATATCATATTTTTGTTTCTTTGTGCTCCCACATTACAGTTTCATAACTACTGGCAAGCCCTTCTTTTTCTCTGAGGCACAGCAGGGCTTTAAGATAAATGCTAAGGTTGAGGAGGGGAGGATAAAGAATACATCTGTTACCAGGCCTTCTGCCTGTCTGCCCTCCCTTTAGCAAAAAGACAAAATATACAAAGCAAGTCCCTTACCTGGCAACAATGCTTTTTATTATGGTATTCCTACAAATACATATTTAACATGGGCCAAAGGCCTGCATGTGTGCGTGTGTGCATGTGTGAGTAGATGGCACCTTGTATGGAAGCCTCTTTGGAGGAATCAGTGCTCGCTTGCGTTGAGAGTTGTTTTGAGTGGTGGTGATAAGACTAGAAAAGCATTTTGTAAATGCAGGCCATTTACCATTAAAATATATTTTTAGAACCCTATTAAAGAACACAATAAAAACGGAGAAATCCTTATAAATGCCTCCTCGAAATAAAACTTCTAGGGAAAAATGTAGAGAGGTTTGCTCTTGTTCATGTTAACTATCAAAGGAGATGTTCTAACCTGTCACATACTGTATGTTCGCATATGTTAATTAAAAAAGTCTCAAATCGAATAGTCTGAATTGTAGGCCTTATCTTAAATATTATTTTCACAGGACTCAAATTATTTTGATCATGAGGTCATTGTTATATTTAAAGAACTGCATTTGTTCTGATCACGCATTGGAACAAATTACCATTAAATCAAGCTGTGTCAGCATTTGTCTGAGCACACAGTGTGATGTGATGGTTTATCCGTTCTTTAAAAAAACGTGTTCCTGTTCATAAAACTTTCGTCTAGTACGGGTAAGTGCAAGTAAAACACGATCTGGTTTGAGAACAGTGCATTGAGAATTGGAACTTTAGGTATAAATGATTGTAGTAGCTTTGGAAGTAAAAATCATAAAGCTGCCACAAAAAGCCCCCAGCTGATGCCTCGCAGGGATAGAAAACACAGTCTGGCCCCCGCCGGCCTCTCTACTGGAACAATGTCAACACCTCCCAACAGCCTTTGGATCTATGCCAACTCTGGATTTTGCACAAGGTAGCTAGATCAGTCCAACAGAAGAAATGAAGTCATATGTGAGCTTCAACCATGCTCCCTAAAGGTCTTAGAAAGGTCTTACTGTATATTTAACTCAAACCTGCAGAAACGTATTCCACATATAAAGATGACTGCCCTGGGATGGCAGCCGTTTGCACACAGATTTCAGAGTGCACTTGTAAGTGATTGTGTGGAGTAAAATAAGTATTGTGCAGGTACTGGCATGGGGACAGCTTACCGTTCGATGGTCCCGGAGGAATCCTCGCCCACGCCTATTTCCCTCGGACACACCGAGAGGGCGAAGTCCACTTTGACTACGATGAGCAATGGACAGTGGGCAACAATGTGGGTGAGTACATATGAAATACCTTGAGGTTTTATGTTGAACCACCTGCTTTTAAAATGTTTTCTTTAAAGATGCCCCTCATTTGTGTTCCTCATTTGATAACACTAAAGCAGGGGTATAAAACGTATTTAGTTCAGGGGCCACATACAGACAAACTTGATCTCAAGTGGGCCGGACCAGTTAAAATAACTCCAAATTGTTCTTTTTTTTATGCAAGAAATGTATATTGTGAACAAAACATTATGAGCATGCTAAATGGACTGTATTACGTCTTCGACCCCTCAAAGCTCTTTACATACTACGAGTCATTCACCCATTCACACCTCATCCATGCAGAGCAGTACCACCTGCTCTAGGGAAGCTAACACACACACACACACACACACACACACACACACACACACACACACACACACACACACACACACACACACAGACACACACCGTTGGCCATCGAGGGTAACTCAGGGTTCAGTGTCTTGCCCAAGGATATACGGCCGCACTCCCTCGCAGCCACAGTCGCCCCAAGTTGGAGATTTTGTTCCTCAGTTTATCATTTACACATTGCATTACGACAGATCACAGTGAATCCACAAAGGCATAACACATCGAGTCCCCGGTATCTGGAACTGAACAATATTGTATTTTACTTTATGATCAAAACTACTTTTCAAGATCTAGAAATGATTTGACATTCATTTCCACATGTGTGCACTAATCCTGACCTCCAGCATACAGACTAGAGTGGGAACTATTAACCTGTTTAGCCCTGAGCCTGTGTTTCAGGTCTCAGGCTCAAAAATGACATTCCCAGAACAAATGACTATAACTTCACTTCTAAAAGGGTTACATTAATCATCTTTGTTCTCAAAGTAATGATAAACCTGTGAGTTGGCTGTAGAAAAGTCAGAATCAATATAGAACCTTTTTATTTTAAAGTAAATTCAGATTGAACATAGTAAAAAAAAATGTAAATGATAGTGTCCGTCCAAAAAAACCCCATTACTTACAGTATAGTGAAAACCACCCTTGAATGATGGGATAGTAGACTAAAAGCTTTAGGAATCCAAACTATAACATATAATAAGTACCCTGTATCAAGATTGATGCAAAACAAGTTAGATTGGACCTTTTTAGAGAGATTTAGAAAAGAAAAAACCCACTTCTGGGGTCATTTGGTTGGATTTTCCATATCTCTGGCCCCCCTCGTTCGATTTTGATCTCTTTTTAACCGTTAGAGCCAATAGAATCGAGGGGAAGTTCCTAAAATCCATCTAAACATTACCCATTGGTGAATAAGTTATGCGTAGCCAGAATGCCCCGGAAACGGAAGCTGTCATACACTCTGGTAGCTATCGTAGCAGCTAATAGGAAATCTCCGTTATTGACATAAAAATGGCAACCTGGTCTCACCAGAATGCGTGACTCCACCACGACTCCTTAACACCGCATTGCGTGGTGGAGTCACGAACTTTGCTACATTTACGTGTCTGCACCACGCAAACAACCCCAATGTAAAGTGAATGAGGCTCCTTTGTCGTGGTGCACACACGCATTTCTACAACGTCCAGCAGTGAGCTTTTATTCTATAAAACGTTTTTAAAATCTACTTTATAGCTTGTAGTAACTCACAGGAGGCTTCTTTTATTTTATTTGTATTCATAATCATTTTTATTTTTCGTCAGAATGTATTATGGTGCATTATTCACCAATGTTTGTTCTCAAAAAACAATGCATTGTGTGTAATACAACTGTGATTTTTATTAAATTAGTTCGTTTTTAAGGAAGGCCAGAGCTTCAGCTGTGTCAAAGAGATTGTTCCCTTTAGTTAACGTTATTTAAAAGATAATTATATTCCTATTTGATTAAGTCCCCTTTATTGTATTACGGACCCAAAGAGCTGAGCGTCCATTCCCATTGGATAACAGAGCATTTTACACCCGGAAGTAAGTATTCTCCTTACTGTCCATTGATTTTATTTACAGTGATATCTGCACTACTCATCAACTCAAAAACACCAGATTATCCTTGTTAATTACACAACATTGATTGGTTTAAATTGTGTGCAATGCTTTTGTATTTTCCCCTTTCGATTCGGAGAAACAAATATTTGTTCGTAGTGTGTGGATGGCAGAAGGCACTACACTACCCAGAATCCTCAGCTATAGGACTACACCATGTGCTTAGAACGTGTCCTACCCCCCCCCTTAGGTCACAGGCTCCTCCAACAGTGCAACACAATAAAACAGATAGGCTACACAGAACAAATAGTGCAAGTAAATACAAAAAGAAAAATAGTAAAATAGTAAAAAGTGAAATAGTGCAATAAGAGTCTATATACAAGTGATTGGAATATGATATATTAGATAAATAATTTCTAAGTAGCAGCCAGATGAATGTTATGGATGTTGTTTCTAAGTTCAGGTGTTTAATAGTCTTATGGCCTGTGGGATGAAACTGTCCCTGAGTCTGGTGGTTTTAGTCCGGATGCTGCGGTACCGCCTGCCAGACGGCAGCAGACAGAACAGTTTGTGGGGTGATGGGGGTCTTTTATAATCCTGAGGGCTTTCTTTAAGGTTAACCTGGTATTTTTACTCCACTACATTTATTTTAGTTACTTTACAGATTTGGATTAATGATGTGAAATATAAACAACCCTTAAATCAGACTTTAGTTACACCGGAGTAAAATTCAGTGAATTCAGCCAACAATCAGGCGAGATATTTGATAGTTGCTGCTTGAGAAGACTAAATATGTATCTGCAGATCCCTAAAGCATATTCATTACTCGTTATTCTCTACTAATAGTTCATTAAAAACTGTATATAATGGCTATTTTGCACATCCCTTTCAAGATTTCAAGATTTTCTAAGGTTTATTGACATATCATATACACAACTACGGTGTAGTTATGCAATGAATTAAAAACTTGGGTCACAGGTTCATCAACAGTGCATCACAAGACATCTATCGATATCTGTGTACCTCCACCATTAAACATATTCTGCACATTTCTTATACTATCTACATACATCTTATAAGAGTATAATTAATATGTATAATATCAGTTAAAATAAGTGCTTCAACATAGTTAACATTGAAGGAAAGTTGATTGTCAAGTTCCAAAACAAACCATGCAATATATTAGACGTTAAGTACTTTGTCAGGCTTAATATCTGTAGATACCCCCAAAGCTTTTTTCTTATTTAAAAGACGACCTTAACCTAAAGTATTCTTTAATGTTTAAATAAAGCCTTATAAGTTTGTCTGTTTTGCACATCCTCCTATCAGGCACTAAACTGTTTTATTGTAGAGATCACTTACAGTATCTTCTTGATATTTTCTATTCTATATTATTTATATCATTGACCTTCCACTTTCCCACTATATTAAGAGTATGTACTCTTAATATTGAAATGTTTTCATCAAATATAACACATTCAAAAGTGCTTTACAAAAATGAAAGACATTAAGAAAAAGGCATTTTAAAACAGTCAATAAAAAGCAACCCAATCTACCTGCATTGCATTACTCTAAACGTGTAATAACGTGCTTTAACCAGTAGGAGGTGCGGGTTAAAAAGCTGTCAAGTTTACAGTGTTAACAAAATAAAATATACTGCTGTTTCTGGTTTAGTTTACGACGGATATATTCTGTTATTGTTTTGATATTTGTAACACAAAAGCGATGTAAAAAACCCACAGCAACACAGAAAAGATGGTCTTAACATGACCCAGCGGTCTAGTAGTTAATAAAAAACAATAATATCAAAACAAATTATTACTACTAACTTTATTGTGAAATTAAAATAGAACGGTAAAAGAATAGTTTCCGGTCCATTCTGAGGCCCGATCTCTGTAGATAAATAAAGAACTACGACAGATGTGTAATGTTTAATGCAGCCAAACCATTCATTACAATGCATTCATGTGATGACTTTCAAAGAGTAAAGCAAGCACTGCTGAATAAAGTATGATTTGATCTTTGACGAAACGTTTTTTTCATTGGAATGCAGTTGGAGGTCAGCTGAGGATTCTGGGTAGTGTAGTGTCTTCTACCATCCACACACTCCGAAAACATATTTGTTTCTCCGAATCGAAAGGGGAAAATACAAAAGCATTGTACACAATTTAAACCAATCAATGTTGTGTAATTAACAAGGATAATCTGGTGTTTTTGAGTTGATGAGTAGTGCAGATATCACTGTAAATAAAATCAATGGACAGTAAGGAGAATACTTACTTCCGGGTGTAAAATGCTCTGTTATCCAATGGGAATGGACGCTCAGCTCTTTGGGTCCGTAATACAATAAAGGGTACTTAATCAAATAGGAATATAATTATCTTTTAAATAACGTTAACTAAAGGGAACAATCTCTTTGACACAGCTGAAGCTCTGGCCTTCCTTAAAAACGAACTAATTTAATAAAAATCACAGTTGTATTACTTACAATACATTGTTTTTTGAGAACAAACATTGGTGAATAATGCACCATAATACATTCTGACGAAAAATAAAAATTATTATGAATACAAATAAAATAAAAGAAGCCTCCTGTGAGTTACTACAAGCTATACAGTAGATTTTAAAAACGTTTTATAGAATAAAAGCTCACTGCTGGACGTTGTAGAAATGCGTGTGTGCACCACGACAAAGGAGCCTCATTCACTTTACATTGGGGTTGTTTGCGTGGTGCAGACACGTAAATGTAACAAAGTTCGTGACTCCACCACGCAATGCAGTGTTAAGGAGTCGTGGTGGAGTCACGCATTCTGGTGAGATCAGGTTGAAAAATGGAATGATGGATTATCAATAATCATTTCAAAGTGACACCGACACATTGGATTAACCTATGGATTAACTTGGACCAAACCGTGGAGTCTCAGCTTGCTAATTAATATATTGTTTGTGCAGATCCGATATGTAATAAGGGTATTTATACCTAGAGTTCTGTAATAAGTGTGTTAGCATTTTTTTGCTCAGGGCTCATTTAGACGCTTCTTTTGAGACTTGTGTTTTGTTTCGGTAAAAATGGTTTGTATCGTCAGTTAGCTGTGTTTCTTCCCGTTAATCGGGTATGACACATTAATAGGTTTTTAACCCGCGGGCGGGGACCTCCGGGTTGAATTAAGGAAGAAAGTTCAGTTATCCCCTGCCTTGTAAATGTACAAAATGTATACTTACAAAATACATAAAAGTTGTGAAAATTGTCGGGCCGTATGTTTGACACCCCCACCACCACAGAGCCGATAACTCATTTCCGTGTCTCTGCCTCTTCACCCTGCTGTCCCGTCCAGGCACAGATCTCCTCCAGGTGGCCGCTCATGAGTTCGGCCACGTCCTGGGCCTGCAGCACTCCCTGGAGCCGGACGCTGTGATGTGTCCTTTCTACAGCGACTCGTACCCTCTGCAGCTCAGCGAGGACGACAAGAGGGGCATCCAGTATCTGTACGGCCCCCCCCGACACAGACAGCCCGACATGACGGAGACCAATGAGATTGACCTTGGAGTGGTGAGACAATCATCCTGGGAATGGACTCAAAGCTGCATGCACTGCGTCTCTGCATGTTGGTCCACAGAATAAATGTCCCCGCTGTTTTCTGTTGTGCTGCAGATGGACGCATGCAGGACCAACTTTGATGCCGTGTCCATGATCCGGGGGGAGCTGTTCTTCTTCAGGTCTGCGTATGTGTGGCGCATCCGGGACGGGCAGCTGCAGGCGGGATACCCAGCTCTGGCCTCACGCCACTGGAGGGGGATCCCTGACCACATCGACGCTGCGTATGAAGACAAGTCTGGAAACATCTGGTTCTTCCAAGGTCTGCCATTATACAGCAGAACACTTTTATTGTTTTATATATGTGACCCGCTCTATCGAAATCAGTCGGAAGTCGCAACGGCTCATTTCAAAAATAAACGTGGATTTGCGTAAAAAAATAGTTTTTCGGGGTTCGGGTGTTTTGTTTGATTTTAAATAAACAAAGTCTTGGCTTTTAGAATATGAAACTTTTATTTCCAAAATCACACGATAAATAAATTTGTTAAGCTTGTAAAGGGAAGATGACAGCCCCCCCTCCCTCTGCTGAAATTATGAATGTAAGGCGTATAGTAATCATAGATAACACGGCAGGGTCCGTTACAGTTTGTTTTCATCTGATTTCAAATAAACAAAGTCTTGGCTTTCAGAATATTAAACTTGTTTCGGCAAATTCAGATGATAAATACAACTTTGAAGAAAATATTTTCTCTCTGTACTATTTTGATCATTTGCTCCGCTAATAATCAATCAGATCGATGGATTCCAGAGAAGAGGAAACTTTGAAGGCCTTTTTCTCAAAATGATTAAGATTAAGAACTTGGTTACACAAGGGAATAAGGACTCAAATGCACAACCCGGGAGCCAGAGGTAAAGTATAATTAATATACTTTATTTTGCCAAAAAAGGATATACAAAAAGAAAACAACACTCTTAATAGAGGCGACAAAAAAGGCTTAACATAAATCGCTCACAACGTGAGGACAGAAACTTACGACAGAGTTTCAGGAGCGTAATTTAAGCAAGTGACAAGATAGGCAATCATGGATGAGCAGAGTTCTAGCATGAGGACAGGACAAGACGAACTGACAACAAACAGAGGGAAACAGGAGATAACTGGGAACAGGTGAAAACAATCAGGGGTGGGGCTGACGCTGATGAGCGCGGGAGAACACATTAGGAAAGGGAGTCAAGGAACCTGAAATGAGACGTGACAAAACAAAACAGGAAGTGAAAGACAATAACAACATGAAACATGACTGACTAACACTTTTGGCGGTGCACAACAGTACCCCCCCCCCTCTAGGGCCGACTCCTGATGGCCCAGGCCGATCATAAAAATCCTGGATGAGAGTCTTGTCTACTATAAACCTCGCAGGTACCCAGCACCTTTACTCGAGACCATAACCCTTCCAATCCACCAGGAATTGCTTGCCCCGACCCCTATTGCGGACCTCCAGCAGCTTGCGGACCTTGTAAATTAGACCACCTTCGAAGAACTGGGGTGGTGGAGGGGGCTTGGAGGCGGGAATAAGTGTGCTCTCATACACTGGTTTTATCTTGCTGACGTGGAATGTAGGATGTACTCTCATGGACCTGGGAAGTCGTAAGCGCACAGACACAGGATTGATGACTTTAGTCACCGAAAAAGGCCCCACAAACCTTGGAGCCAACTTCTTGGAAGCCACCTGAAGTGGTCGGTCCTTGGTGGAAAGCAACACCTTTTGACCCGGACTGTAGAGGGGAGCGGCCCTGCGGTGGACGTCTGCTACAGCCTTCATCCGAGTCGAACTTCTGAGAAGAGATTGGCGAGCTCCAGCCCAAACTCGGCGACATCGTCTAATCAAGGCATGAGCCGATGGTACCGTTACTTCCCCTTCGTTGGTTGAGAACAGCGGAGGTTGGTAGCCATTGGCACAATGGAAAGGAGAGAGACCTGTGGCCGCCGTGGGAAGAGTATTGTGAGCAAACTCAACCCATGTGAGGTGGTCGCTCCAGGTGGTCTGGTTCTAGAAAACGAGACAGCGTAGTGTAGTCTCTAGTTCCTGGTTCAGATGCTCCGACTCTCCATTTGATTGGGGGTGGTAACCTGATGACAAACTGACGGTGGAGCCTATGAGTTTGCAAAACTCCTTCCAAAAAGCGGAAATTAATTGTGGACCCCTGTCGGAAACAATGTCATTAGGGAATCCATGGATCCTAAATATATGGTTCATCATGACCTCTGCGGTACCTTTGGCAGAGGGAAGCTTGGTTAGAGGAATGAAATGAACCATCTTGGAGAATCGATCCACCACTGTTAGGACCGTAGTTTTGCCTATGGACGATGGGAGACCTGTCACAAAGTCCATAGATATGTGTGACCAGGGACGTTGAGGAATCGGCAGCGGCTGGAGCAGACCCATCTTGACCTGGGACGAGGTCTTATTGCTGCTTAATCCTGCACATAGTCCTTTTAACTCCAGGGTGGCACGAGAGCACAGACGTGTGGGCCCAGTGGATGACCTTGGAGTGGAGAGACACAGGAACAAAGAGCAGGTTGTTTGGACACTCGCTAGGTGCCGGGTTCAACATATTAGCCTGCTTAACGTCTGACTATTTGCCAGCAAAAAGCTCCGACCATACGGTTTAAGGGAAGGATGGTCTTGGGCTCTACAGAAAACGGTTCTGGTTCGAAAAGGCGAGTAAAGGCATCAGGCTTTTGATTCTGGGATCCGGGGCGAAAAGAGAGGTTGAAATCGAACCTACTGAAAAATAGAGTCCACCTGGCCTGGCGAGAGTTGAGGCGTTTAGCCTTTCTAATATACTCCAGGTTCTTATGGTCTGTCCATACTAAGAAAGGCTGCTCTGCCCCCTCCAGCCAGTGTCTCCATTCCTCAAGAGCAGCTTTTACAGCTAACAGCTCTTTATTCCCCACATCATAGTTCTTCTCTGCCGTCGTCAGCTTACGCGACAGGAAGGCACATGGGTGTATCCTGTTGTCCTCCACGGATCTTTGGGACAATACTCCTCCAATTCCCTCATTGGAAGCATCGACCTCGACCACAAACTGGCGCTGGGGATCCGGGATGGTGAGAATGGGAGCTGTGGTGAACCTTTCCCTGAGGAGCTGGAAGGCGACGTCAGCCTGGGGAGTCCACTTGAAGGGAACCTTAGGAGAAGTGAGAACATGCAGAGGAGCAGCAACAGAACTGAAGTTTCTTATAAACTTTCTATAGAAGTTTGCAAACCCCAGAAACTGCTGAACCTTCTTTCTGGAGTCTGGTGTTGGCCACTTAGAAACTGCACTGACTTTAGCAGGATCCATCTGAATCTGGTTTGGTGAGATTATGTATCCTAGAAAAGCCACCTTTTCTGCGTGGAACTCACATTTTTCTGCCTTGACATACAATTGATTTTCGAGTAGTTTCTGCAGAACCTGACGGACATGATTAACATGAGACTTTGCGTCTGGGGAGAAAATCAAAATGTCATCAAGGTACACAAACACAGAAACATTCAAAAATTCCCGCAAAACCTCATTCACAAAACCCTGAAACACAGCCGGTGCACAGTCCAAAAGGCATCACAAGGTATTCATAGTGACCGCTCTGAGTGTTAAATCCTGTTTTCCACTCATCCCCTTCCCTTATTCTAACCAAGTGATAAGCATTTCTTAAGACTAGCTTGGTAAAAATCTTGGCAGTCTGAAGTAGCTCGAAAGCAGAGGACATGAGTGGCAGAGGATAGTTAATGTCATTAAGAGGGCTGTAGTCTATGCAAGGTCTCAGAGAACCGTCCTTCTTTCCTATGAAGAAAAACCTCGCTCCAGCTGGGGAAGATGAAGGGCGGATAATCCCTGATTTGAGAGAAGAGGAAATGCAGTCGTCCATTGCCGCTCTCTCTGGCCTTGAGATTGAATACAGTCTTCCCTTGGGAATGGGAGCTCCCAGTAGGAGATCAATGGGGCAATCAGAAGGTCGATGAGGAGGTAGCGACATGGCTTTTGATTTGTTAAAGGCTTCCTTTAGATCGTGATAACATGATGGTACTTTCTGTAGGTCAGGATAGTCTGGGTGATCTATGATGATCCTACTAGGGTCTGTTGGTGCTTTAACAGAGCGTGAATGTTTACACCTGTTAATGCAATCCTCTCCCCACTCCTTCATTTTTCCTGAGCGCCAGTCAATGTGTGGGTTGTGGATTTTTAACCACGGGAAAACCCAAAATAATCGGATGCTGAGCAGATTCAAAAATGTGAAACTGCATAACTTCAGTGTGGTCATTATTTACAGTAATCTGGATAGGTTCTGTGCAGTGGGTTACTGTAAACAACAAACGTCCGTCTAAAGCACTGGCGTTAATGGGGCGAGATAGAGGAACAGTCTTTATACAAAGCTGTTTGACTAAGCCCCAATCCATAAGACTTTCGTCCGCTCCTGAGTCTATTAGCACCCCTTGGTCAATGACCTGATCATTAATAAAAAAAATTACCTTGGTAACTGGTCGAGGAGGAAAGTCTGTGGGAAGCTTGCTCACCAGCGCCCTCCTCTTGGCTGGTAAGCTTGGTCTTTACCTGGACATGAAGCGAGTTGGTGATCCGGCTGGCCACAGTAGAAACAACACCTTTCCCGTAGCCGGTGCTTTCTCTCCTCTACGGAAAGCCTGGTCCTTCCCAACTGCATGGGTTCATCTGCAACAGACGGAGGTGCTGTCCTCCAACGGACCGAATCCGCTGGCTGGAAAACCTCCTCTGGTGGAACGGCTCGCTGAGAAAAGCCCTGGAAACTGGGATGTCCGTCACGGTTACGGGGGGATTGTCTGACGAAGTTATCCAGACTATCCAGGCAGCAAGAGCAGGATCCACCACAGCCTGTTACAGGCCAAAGTGGTTGGCATTCCAGCGATGGTGTGAAGAGGGAAGTCTAGAGTCTAGACTTCCCTCTTCACACCATCGCAAAATAACAGTGTGAGAGACTGGCGAGGGGGGGGGCTAGTGAATTAATTTAAGTTTTCCGCACTCTCGCGGGAATATCTCCGCAATGGAGCGACCTTAAGTTTCACTTTCGATTGCATGATATAGCCCAGCGCAACACCTTCGTCAAACATGTTGCCACCATTTTCAGGCGATTTGTAATCTGTTCTAGAAAAACGATGTGTTTTTTTGGATTTCAAGAAGCATATAGAACAAACAATGGATGTATTTTATGAACATTTATCTATGCTGAAAGTAGATTTAGATGTGTTAGGAGTGAGATAGAGATTATTATCTAATGCATCTGATGAAGCATTGCATGAAGTCTATTGATGAACAGAGGCTGTTGTTGGGGCTGCATAAACGTTTTTTTATTTTTGTTTTGTAGACCATGCAGGCCTCAGAGAGTTAGACTTAGGCCTGCGACCATAGTTTTACTGTATTTTGTTTTGAAAATCCACAGCGGAGGTTTGTGTCGTACTACATGCGGTGTATTTTGCATTTCTCTCAGTAGCCAAAGATCTGTGAGTCTGTTGGCTCGGACATAAACTCCGTAATAAATGTAGTCTACATTTCATAAGAGGTGTAAAACCTGAGATCATTTTAAATCGCATTTGAACGAAATGCTTATATAATCTGTATTTGTATTTGTATTGTTGATTTAATGCGTGAACGAGGCGATATAGAGAAGGTTAAGCTGTCATTATTAGGCTGTCATTTGTTATATACTGTTGGAGTGGTAAGCAGGCCTATTGTTTTTGGATATTTGTGGAGTTAGGTGGTCCGTGAGTGTTTTTTTATTGGTTAAGAGTCCTTGGTATGAAAAAGTTTGAGAAACACTGCGCTAGTGGATTGTCAAAGGGGGAGCCTCTTTGCGTGGACATTATACAGATGGCAAGTCCGCCCCTGAAAAATGTCTATGCACACGTTATTATTCATAATAATAAAAAATAAAAAAATTGATAAAATGATAAAGAAAATGAATTAATTATTTTTAATTTTCAATTTTAATTTTGTAATCATCTCGCGACCCCCCAGGAACCCCTGGTCTAGAGCCCTTATCTTGTATGCTGGGCTCTATTCTGTCCTACTTACAGTTACTGGTGGACATCAGGGCTCCACCCACTGTACCCATAATCAGGGGTGCACATCACTTTTTTGCCCTGGTTCTCAAAGGAGCACCTGGAGATGGTGCTTGGTGCGCATCCTTAAAATGAAATAAACCGGACCTTTTGAGGGGTACTTGACTTTATGAACGGGGGGAGGTGCGCTAGTGAGCACGCTCATGAACTGTTCGCCGGAGCCTCGCAGCAGGGTTACTGTGCGGAGCGCATAAAGCAGACCCTTCACGCGATAGCGAGGGGTAGAGCGAGGGATCGCAGATGCCGTAGTGCTCGCGGACGGATTAAAAAAATTAAACCTAAATGGCTCGCGAATTATACTTTGGCGGCCGTTAATATACCTGGGCGGCCCGCCCAAGTAAAGTCTATGTGTGGGAAACCCTGCTATCTTACCAGTTCTTATGCAACTCGCAAATCTCTCTCTCTCTCTCTTTTCTATCTCTCTCTTCTCTCTTTTCTCTCTCATCTCTCTTTTCTCTCTCTCTCAATGTTGGTGCGCAAATGCGCCTTTTTTCAAATGATCCGGTGCTCCTTTTTTGGCGGGCGGTGCGCATGCGCACCTGCGCACCAGTTATGTGCAGCCCTGCCCATAGAGTCCAGTAGAGGACGGAGCCTGTGAGATATAACTAGGGTTACGTATTGTAACCCTAGTTATATAGGGCGGCTGTGGCTCAGTGGATAGAGTGCTGGACTTCGAATCAGGAGGCTACCAAGTTCGAGTCCCACTGCAGTCAGCATGTCGTTGTGTCCCTGGGACATTTCACCCCAAATTGCTCCTGTGGGGATTGTCCACAGAACTGAATGTATGTATGTTTGGATAAAAGCGTCTAACAAATGACATATAATGTAATATTGTAATGTAACAGGCGGAGCCCTCTACTAGGGGCCCTGTCTGTCCTATCCTGCTCGCTGAAGAGGGTGTAGGATGACAGTCAGGAGGCGAGGCCTCCTTATATACGGTGGGCTTGCGCGCGCACTCAGGTAGGCCCGCCCCGAGGGGCCGGCTACGTTTAAAGTCAGTAGGTGAATGCTCGCATAGTAAGGTCAAGGGCTAGTACCCATAGAGTCCAGTAGAGGGCTCCGCCTGTGCTTATATAACTAGGGTTACAATACGTAACCCATCGATACGGTCCAGGTGAATGAAGTCCTAATTTGGGGTTTATGTGTATCTTTTTGATGACAACAGGGGAGAGCTACTGGGTGTTTGATGCTGAGAGGAAGATAACAGGCCCGGATTCAGTGCGGCAGCTGGGTCTTCCTGTCTCAGATATCCAAGCAGCTCTGAAGTGGGAGGAGGACCACGTGGAGAAAGTCTACTTCTTCAAGTCCGCCTCTTACTGGCCCTTCAATCCGCAGGAGAACCGAGTGGACGATGTGCGTCCGGGCAGCATGGACGCGTGGGGGGGGATCCCCGGAGATATTGATGCAGCTTTTCGGGACAAATATGGTGAGGACTGGATTCACCTAGCAACCATTTTAACTTGTAACAGTAGATGGTGTTAAGTAACTTAGTACATTTACTCAAGCACTGTACAATCTTGAGGTACTTGTACCGACTTGAGTATTTCCATTTTATGCTACTTTGTACTTCTACTCCACTACATGTTTTTAATATCTTTAGTTACTTTACAGATCTGGATGAATGATGTGAAATATAACCAAGTGTTAAATCAGACTTTAGTTCCACCTGGAGTAAATTCACAAGCTACCCTGCAGTATACAAAGTCATGGTGCCCCCTTGATGTAACCTTTTCTCGCTCTCTGATAGGCTACGCTAACTTCCTGAGCGGGCAGCACTACTGGAAGTTTGACCCCGTGGCGCTGAAGGTTCTGGACGGCTTCCCACGCAGCATCGGAACGGACTTCTTTGGCTGTTCTGCCTTTTTGTATAAATAAGTTCATACAGATACAACTGGAACACTTGTGAAGAGCAATGGCCGTTTTTAAAGCTGCATCCACAAACAGAACATTCTGAATATTTCGGAAATATATGTAAGGCCAATATATTTAATTAAGATGACTCAAAACTTATATAAATACATCACCTCTAAAAAGTCACTACCCACACGGAAAAAACTGAAATGTTGACTTTAATTAAATGTATAATGTCAACAGATTTCACATAACTGTATTACTGCAGGTTACATGTGCAGTAACAGGCAGTAAGCATCTGCTTCTTTTGTCAGTTTGAGATGATGAGAAGCCAGACAAAGCTTCTCCCTCAGGCTAAAGTCTGAAAACCACTCGGCAAGTTTCCTGAGTGTCCTGCGACCCTCCTGCAGATCTCAGAGTGACCTCTGAGGGTTCAAAGGTTCAGGTTGGTGGTGACGGCCCATGCTGCGATGTGAAGTGTTGTCAGGGTTGTGTATTTAGTGGAAGCAGGAACCAGTCCTCTATAATGTCTGGAGTAAAAGCATCACAAATCCAGCAGCACCTTGCTAATTAGCGGAGTTGGGACATGTATTGAGGCTAGAGTTCTCTCAGAGGATCCAGGCCAGGGGACATGTCTAACCGCGTCTCAATGTAAGCATGTTATATTTGCTCTGAAGGACCCGTCTGAAGGCGGGCCAAACAGCCCTGCATCCTGGCTGCTGTAGGTCTGAACACTGAGAGTGAGATCACTTTATTCTCAGAGATGTTCCTCTCTCCTGGAAACATTTACATTATTCTAATATTAGTTTCGTCAGCAGAGCACCATCAAAGGTGCAACATATCTGAAATGACCAGGGTCTGTGAACACAGCATCATGTGGTTGTAGCACCTGAGGTTTTCAAATCACATGCCACCACCAATGAAAAAACCTTTAATCAAAGTCAGCGTTCCTATTGTGTGTTACTGGCAGAGCTGCACACATATTATAATCCTGCATACCTCTTCATCTTATTCTTCCTCTTCCACCTTAAAGTTAAGACCGCTACTAGTCCCGGAGCGTTGCTACGACACGCACAAAAAACACATTAAAACAAAACGTGCGGAACGATCGGGAATGATGTGCTAGGATTTGCCTAGCCAGTTTCACGCAAATCAAAACAAACAACAAACTTTTCCCCATAGGAATGAATGGGTGATCAAGAGCCAGAATGACCCGACTTTGAGGTCATTCTGATTCCCCATATGTGAACGGAGAAAAAACATAAAACATTTTAAGCGGCTCTCCAGACTCCCAACTTTATTGGACTGAAAATGTTTTTTTGATAGATGGAAAGGTTTTTCTAAAATCACAGTTTTGTGAAACGCTAGCAATATTAGCATCAGGACCGACACCAAGTGTAAGTCACACAGTCAAAAGTTCTCAGAGGGGAATGTTTTTGTTTTAAATATTGTGTTGCAGTTATGAACTGATTGGAGGGGAGGAGGGGGCCTCCTCTCAGACATGGAGGAGCACTCTCCATCCAGACTGGATATAAGTGATGGAGCGCTCATGGTACAATGAGCAGTCGTCCTACAGTTCCTCTGCACCCCTGCTCCGTCCACTCTGCTCTGAGACCTCTGACTCAATTTACAATCTTAGGGTTTCAGTCCTTAAAATCACCAACACAACAAAGAATAACAAAGACCTTTTTGGGATATAATAGTAATGAATAATGATGTGAAAAACCGCAGTAATCACCTCAGGTCAGCACAATAAAGTTTTATAAAGTTTTGATACGTAAGTAAAAAAGAAAGCTTGAGAGAGAACATCTAACCTAGCCTAGCCAACATTTTCCAGTCAAGTGTTTAGCAGGAAGTTCTCTTGGTACTGACTGGTGAAGGGTTGGGTTGCCTTTGCTGTTTTTTTTTTTACATTAGGTGACCTGTCACATGCAACAGGAGAAGGATTTTCTTTGACAGTCAGTTTTAAGAGTCAACTTTTGGTTAATGTATTCACACTTACTACTCTAAATTCACTACAGCTCAGCTTCCTCATGTAATAGGCCTACACAAAATCAGAAAAGTTTTTTTTCCCTATATTCTTTTATTCATTTGATAAAGCCATCTAAACGCCTCATTATCTGTTGAAGAGCTTTGTTTCAGTTCTTGGATTGTTATTGTATATTAATTATAAAAGCCCTGACATTGTATCTTTCTAAGAAAATTAAAAACCATATTATCGTCACAGACAACATAATGTGGTCTGATACACATCCTGTGTTTCCATCCTGATCAGAGGAAACTGACAGCCCTTCACTTTGGGATGACTTACTGTATATTTTATGGATAGTGCATAAAGTGAATTTCATTGGAGATGTTATTGTGTGTACTCAGTGCAGGACACTGATTATTGCATGGACTTGTACAATACACTGGTGTGTGTCCACATGTCCTGAACATGTTTAGGATCTAGTTTGATGTTCTTTCAACATGTACTGATTTCTTTGCCTTCATATGGAATTATTTAGTCAAAGTATTTCAATTTTATTTGATTACATCTGTAAAGGTTTGCAATAAAAGTAAACATAAAAAAATCAACTTGCTTTTCCGATTTTTGCAATTTTGATTTAGAGCAGGGTTTTTTAAACTGTGAGATGAGGCAGAGATACTACCGGTGAAAGAGAGGTATGGGAAGCCATTAGTGGCATAATTCACATTTCTTGACACATGCTATAGAACATTTGTTGCTAATTAATCATCGCCGTTGTTATGCTGCAGATCTGTGTTGTCTTTGTGAAGTGTTTTACTGATTTACCTTGAAATATATTCACATTGCCTTATCCTTTAAAATAATAACTCTGGACATATGGGCTCTGCACTAATGGCTTTCCACAGACTTGGTTCAGTGTGTTTGTGTAATGCAGTGTTAAACTGTGAATAGCCCTGGTTTAGGTTGCATGTTCCCTGACTGCTCCTGTCAGCCATTAGATGCACAACTGTATCCCCCTGCTGTGGGCTTCTTAATGCCCTGCACATTCTGTTAAATGACCAAAGCCAGTCTAAAACACTCTCCATCTTTATGAATTCCTTCAAAGCACTCAGTTATTTACTGCACATTTGTGCTGGCAGCACTAAATAATAAATGCACTGTCTGCAGAACTCTCCCCGAGGGCCAACAGGCCTGCACATGTTCACCCAGAAAGAATTTCAATGCATTTATTATTAGTCAACTTTAGCACCTTGGCAGCACATGAATGATCATAGTATCAGTTCAGTTGATAACATCAAACCAAAATACCCCAGATCAAAGATAGAACAATTATTTCTGTATTCCATCTTTGTATTCCAGAGTTTTGTGATAGGAAAACAGGAAGCGGCCTCTCCAGGTTTACTGAGGGACACGTGAAGAACCGGAGAGATAACCTCTGCTGCCTCAACATCCAGACTGCAGGCTGAGTGTCCGCTGACGTTACATTGCCAAAACAAGCAGCCATGAGGAGTGTAGTAGGAATCAAAAATACAAATCAGCATGTCCCGGTGGAGGGGCAGCGAGCTGAACGCTGCTGTTAGTGCTGCTTGTTTCTCTGATAACATGAGAACCAATCACTCAAATTTTTCATCTGGTTAAAATGTGTAGTCATGCAGCAGCCAAGATCTAAAAAGTGTATCATGATATACGGCTTATTGCTGGATAAAAAGTACATTTATGACAGCAACTGGCAAAAAACTGCTGCGCAGAGGCGACACATCGCCTGACAGGAGAACATCTGGAACCAGACGAGACCAGAACTCTACCTTCATTACGTTTAGAGTCTAGATGCATTTATATCTACAGTCATCATGTTCTATTGACTGTGAACTTTTGGACCTCCTACTAATCATATTGTAGCCTACATATGCAGTGGTGGAAAGTAACCAAATACATTTACTCAAGTACATTTTTACTCATGTACTTTAATTAAATGTTTCCAAATGATTCTACTTTATACTTCTACTCCACTACATTTTGGCAGCAAAAATATATATTTTTCCTCAGTACATTTATTTGACAACATTAGTAACTAGCGGGTTTATATTATTAATACCAAAAAAATAGTTTTTTATGTTATCTCGTACTTTACAAGCTACAAAATTAAAATCATAGACACATCAATGCATCACTAATTATAAACTAGTGATATTGTTGGGGAAATATTTTCCAAGGCCCATAGCTTTGACCCAGTGTATCAGTTCATACTGTCCTGACTGAGCACACGCACCTGCAACCTTGGCTGCTGTGCTCTCAGTGTTTTGTCTCCCTGTTCCTGCCTGTTGGCGTCAGCTATCTTGTTATGCACAATGTTGATTATTCTCTCAGAACTAGCTAAATACATGGGTCTGGGGTAGAGTTCTTCAGAATTGATTGTGGCATCTCAACCATGTGGTCAACTCGTGGCCCGTGACATGTCTTGTGAATTCTCCGGCCGAAGCTCCAAATAAACCATCAGTCTCTGCGTTGTGTTTTGCGTTGTTCATGGATGACTCGAGCCAGCATACAGTTTTGACGATCTCCATTTTATTACTGACAATCTGACAACAGATGTAACAATCAGTATATTAGCTTTCCCTCACAGTGACTCCTCTCACGTGGACAATTTACAGAAAGGGAAGAGGAAACGTGAGGGGGGGGGGGGGGGGGGGGGGGGGGGGGGGGGGGGGAGTCCTCACAACAATAATCTCCTGAGCACAGCGACCACACTTCAGAGGTTCCGCCCACTGATCTCCGACCTTGTCAGGTATTGAACATTCAATAAAATGAAGAACACAGAATTACTTAAAGGGGACCTATCATGCAAAATGCACTTTTGTACGTCTTTTATACATGAATGTGTCCCCGGTGTTCCAGGGAACTCACCAAGTATCAGAAAACACAACCCTCTCTCTTTTCCTCCATACCCAAATCTCTAAAAACGGGGCTGCAAAGGATCTGATAAAAACTGATCCAGATTTGAAATTGTTCTGACGTCAGAAACGGGGTGCTCCGCCTATATGGGCAACTCTCCACCTATCAGGGGAATGAGAGGTTGCGTGGCATGGTAACAGCATGGTAACATGACCCTCGTGCCACGCCCCCCTCCTTTGCAGGGGGGCGTGGTCAGCTGCAGCTCATTTGCCACAGAATCAGCCCTTGCAAAAACAGGGCTGGAATAGAGCAAATAGAGCGAAATGAGGCATGGCTAAAATGCATGATCTGTTTGGTATTTTGAAAACAAACTTCACAGACATGTTTTATATAGGTATGGCCCTACAATATATTTTTCAAATATAGCATGATAGGTCCACTTTAATATAAAACACAGAATGTGTGTGATTATACAAAATGATTTACAAATAAACCCCACTGCATATTTACAACTGTTACACTTAAGTTGAATTCCTGTTGAGTGAAGACCTGCTGCAACAAACCTCACCCTGATTACATGTGGATGTGAGGCTGTAAGATCTGTGCTCCCTCCCAGGGGCAAAGCAGTGCTCACACTGAGCCTGACTCGAGACTGATGAATTTATGGATCAGTTCTCACACCTCTGAAATATATTTAAAACCAGAACTGTCAACTCCACATTACCCTAGCACTGCTGCGGGGTCATTCTCACCGCTGCACCGTCAGCTCTCAGAGATGAGATTTCTTTAAAAACAGTTCAGTTATTAACTTTCATCTATTGTTTTAAAAAGTAAGACTAACACATATAAGCATAACCAAATTGATGCAAAGTTATTAATTTCATGGTTTAGAGAAATTAGTACAATATCAAAATGTGAAACACAACTGAATAACATTTGTTATTTCTTTATTGTCATTTTCATATAAAAAAAAGAAGTCCACTATAAAGGTAAAGCAATTTTACAAAAAACAAGTGACAGTAGATATTTTAACATCATTCTCTGGAATATGTTCAAGTTTGAAATAATCACTTTAAAAGACACCATTGGTTCTTGTCAGCTACAAGAGGCAGCAGTCTGAGACACTGTGAGGCCCTCATGCTCAGGGTTACAGTATCATCTACCTATATTTAGATTTATGCATGCAAATAAACCCTGGTGCACCCTGATCACAATCTGGAAGTAAGATCAGGAGTCTGCATGCAGAAATCAAATCAGCCCTATGATTGGCTGCAGGCACCCAACAGCTCTCAGCTACTGCCGCTAACATCACCAGTGAGTGTTTGAGTTACATTTGACACACACACACACACACACACTGGTTATTTCTGTCAGGTATGAACATAACACCTGCCACAGTACAGAAGTTCTCAAAATCACTGTGAAGTGGCTCACTAACATTCACTGGATTACTGCACTTTTCAAATGGTTCTAATAGTCTACACAGAGGGGCATCATGTAGCCATTTTGGGTATCCAGCACCAAAGCATTGATGTGCACGGGTCAGATAATATTGTATAATCTTTAAAGAAATAGTAAAAAAAGGCTCCCTACAACCTCCTCGGAGCCCATGGTAACATCTTCACATTTCTGTCCGACAGCCGACTAAAGCCCAAAGACATTCAGTTTACAATTATATATGACAAAGAAGACTAAATCCTCTTTGGAGAATCTAAAGTTATTGTGTGACCCTTTGTTTTTTCTTGAATAATAGTCTACTTGCCAGCACTGTGAACTCGGAAATGTTGAGTACCCCAACGTTTTATGATAGAAATGTATAGTACAGGTCCCCAGCACATAGAAACTGCCGGATGTCAAATCAGTCTTTGACTTTAAAATTGACCCCAAGTTAATCAAAATTCCCAGGGAAAGAAATATGGCCACTTTCTGGATAAAACTGCCATTTTGGATCCTGAACATTTCAGAATTTGATTCAATGTCCTCATAACCTCAAAAACCACTCCAAAGTTGTCCAAATCGGCAAAGCCATTTGTATTCATTTTGTCTGCATAATGCCAGCTAACGCAACTTATGCTAATTGTGCAAATTACCCAACATATGCAGGTTAGCATCTGGCAGTTTCTATGTGCTGGAGACCGCTACTATACATTTCTATCATAACACTTTGGGGTACTCAACATTTCCAGGTTCACAACAGGACTCTGACTATGAGCTGGCAGCTAGACTATGTACAGATGTATTGATCTCAAAATGATCCCTTTGATTACCCAGCCTTAGTAATTCCAGCTGCTGGTCATATGGAACATCAACATGTATAGGTCTTATTCCAAACAGATACTCTTAACCCATTTACACTTATATACAGGATGCTAGCTGTGAAAACATCTGTAATGCATTTCCACTGAGATGTTACCACGGCAGAGCTCTGTTCCACATGCCATCCAGGTCTGAAGAATTTACAATGACTTTTGTAAGAGCCACCCTCATGTTACACAAACGCTCTTCATCTCTCTCATATATATTGTTTCCACTAGACATGTGTGTAACAGTTCTGTAACAGTCAGATAAACCTCCTGCAACACCAGCTGACAGGTGTTAAAGTGTTCTGATGACTGTGTGTAGAGGAATGCCTTAATGTGTGTGTTTTAGTCAGTGAGATGTGTGTGAGTGTGAGTGTGAGTGTGAGTGTGAGTGTGAGTGTGTGTGTGTGTGTGTGTGTGTGTTGCTTCTTCAGTAACAGTAGTCCTGGAGCTTGGGCCTCTACCAGGACGGAGCGGTGTTGGCCAGTCTTCTCATACGCCTGGAAAACATTTTATTCACATTACTTCAAGGATTCTCCAAACTGTTGGAATGATCTGATGGATGGATCATTATTTTCTGGCTTGACGAGACTTTTAACTATACAGTGAACGATTTGGAGTATTTGAATTGTGGTCTGTTCAAAAGAATATTTGTAATTAATACAAATGTTTTTTCACTCTGAGTTAGATGTAGGTTAATGAAGAAAGCCATTATCATGGAGCTCTGACCACTATTCACCATGGCAACGATAAATAATGCAATGGATATAAAGAATTATTAACGTGTCTGAAACCTGAATATTAGGACATTTATCTTTAAAAAACAGCAGCAATGAAAGAGTTGGAGTGGAGAAACAAGTTAAATGAACACTACTAGTTTATCTCAGAGTGGTCACAATGCCTGATTACCAACTATCGGCTAGGTTTATTATATAATGAAAGTCTGCTGCATCACCAGTTAATGAAGTTTTACCATTACAATCAGTGTTTCCGCCAGACCAGGGCGAGAGGGTGTCCACCCCGAGAGCCGGGGGGGGGGGTGACGTCACTTCGTGTTACGTGACTTGAATTGCGCCGTCCCTTATACTATCTCTTTACGTCTCCCTGCCGACAGGGACACAGCTCCTGGCATGGTCCTTGGAAGATGCGGCGGTGTTTTGTTTTTTCCGTCACAGGAACGCACTTTGCTGGCGTCGAAAATAATCCCACCAGATGTCCTTGTCCTTTTTCTTTTTCGCCATTTCAAGCGATAAAAACTCTCGATCTTCTCTCAAATTATTATTTTTTTTGTCAAATGACGCCAAGACGCCCCCCTGGCGGAAACGCTGATTACAATTAAATGTATTTTCCTTTAAAAGTATAGTATGTTTACTTTATGATTATAATTCCTTCAATCAAAAATGTTCTGACAGTCCGTTGTCTTTAATTCTCTCTGTTTCTGTCTCACCTGGTGTTCCTGTCCTGGTCTCGGATCTTCTTCTCCATCTCAGCGTCTGTGAGGGTCTCCAGCAGGGGGCACCACTGGTCTGCGTCTCCTGTGTTGCGGATGGCTATCTCTACTGTTGGGAGGGGGTTCTCACTGCGAGCAAACACAAGCATGGCAGCAATGAATCAGTAAAGGGTAAATATAGAAAGACGGGAATGAGACCCCTTGCTCAGATAAACTGGGCCTCCAAATGCAGTGACAGCTGCATGTATTGCTAATGAAACATATTTCATACTCATACCTGAAGGCGTAGGTCCTCTGGTGCCAGCTGATCTGACCGCGGATGCTGTAGGCGATGGTGGTAACAAATTCCCCCCCCAGACCCAGCTCAGAGCACAGCTTCAGGGCGAAGGACTCGGGGGAGTTCTCTCTCTCAGACATGTCCCACTCAAACTGGTCCACCAGAGAAATGTTCCCCACGTGGATGTTCAGCTGAGGAAAACAGACACACATTATGAACACTCCCATAGGCGCTTTCACACCAGAGTACTTTTCCCCGTACTTTTCCTGTTTACTTCCGATAGTTCCTGGGATTTTGCGTTCACACCAAAAAGAGAACTTAGTTCATGAGAACTTTTACCCCCTTTTTAGTGCCTGCTAGAGAGGTGGTACTTTCCTGCGGAGAAAAAAGTTCCAATTTCTGATTAGCTGGGCGGATTGCAAACCACGCCCCGTAAAACTCGGAAAAGTTTTGCCATTGTATTTGATGGCATTAGCATTAGCCCCGTGCACCAACGGAGAGAGACTAACTTATGGCAACACAAAAAAAAACATTGGAGCGGTGGAGATGAGGAGGTGCCGGCGTTCTGGCGATTTACTCGGAAGGCTTCAGTAGAAGCTGCTGGGAGTCCCAGCAGCTTCTACTGAAGCCAGTCCCCAACTCCGGGGACTTCCGGCCGGGGACTCCGGGTGGCAGTATACGCCGTGAAGTGGTTTGCGGCCTGCCAGTAAACCCAAAGCAGAAGAAGAAGAAGTGACATCAGCGGCTTCATTTGGCTAATCCTCCCTCAGGGACTTATTCCGGTGTGAACGCGATCTGCTCTTTAGTTCCATGGGGGTACTAAGTGCTGGGAACTAAGTGCTGGGAACTAAGTGCTGGGAACTAAGTGCCGGCACTAAGTACGGCAAAGTACTTGGTGTGAAAGCGGCTCATGTCTTACCAACTTAATCCTGCAGTAGCAGTGTGTGTCTTTGTTTCCTCTCTCTTTAAAGAAGAGGTGTCATGCTTTTCCGGTTATTACCCGTCCCCTTGTGTGTTATGAAGGTTTTTATGCATGTAAACGGTGTGCAGAGTCAAAACCCTCAAAGTACACCCTGTAGCGAGTAAAACTCTAACACAGAAAATACCTCCCCAAAACGCCTCGTTGGAGATACGTCATTGTCCATTTGATTCTTCCGGGTACGGGGTGACGTAACCCCGTACCCGGAACGAAATGGACCAATCCGTGGAGCCGTTACGTTACGTCCGCGGAGCCGTTACGTTAAGCCCCCGCTGATTGGTCCAAATTGACCAATCCACGGACTTCCTCACACACACACTCAGTGCAGGCAGCTCAGCTGATTTCTCCTCCCTGGCTGCAGGCTGATAACAGACAGTTGGGATCGCGGTGATATTCTCTCTGCAGACCCATTCTCACAGCGTTTATCAACCTTTTTCTTACTCAATATCAAGACACACTTATTGTTTTTACTTCGGATGTGAGTTTGTGTGTACTCAGGATGAGTTTGGCTGTGTTTGGCTGTGTATCGCTAAACAAGGAAACAACACCTCCACGGAGCTCAGCGCGATTCACAACGTCCCGACCAATCAGAGCACACTGTGCTCACAGGGAGGGTGGGGGCTGGAGCTATTGGAGCTACAACGAGCCGTTAAAGGCAGAGAGTGAAATTCAGTGAATACACGTAGTTTACAGAGATGCTGTATGAGAAACCAACGTGAGTTTGGAAAAATGCACAATATAAATCTATTCTAGTAGACCTCAACAATGGAATTATGATCAGTGGCCATGACATGTCTCCATTAACAACTTAACTTACAATATTAAGATATCGTTGTCATAGAAACAATTAAAAAGCACTGGGAGCATTTTCTTGATGAAACTCTGGAAGCGGCCGCTGCTATTTGGACACGGGCCCTTAATCTCTATGTCAATGGGAGTCTTTGAGATTTGATTTTAGGTTGGTTTATTCCCCTTAGCTGGGTGGTTTGGCCCAGCACCCACCTTGATGATGACCCTCTGGTCCTGCTGCTCCTCCAGGATGCCGTCGTTGGGGTACGACTCGATCTGCTGACGGATGGCGGAGGCGATGGCAGGGACGAAGGCCAGAGGATTCAGGTCCAGGTCATCACACAAGATCTCTGCAAACATCTCCGGGGTCATCAGCTTCTCTGAGGGGGGCAGAGAGAGGAGGTGAGACAAAGCTCTAAAATAAAATAACAAATATGACTAACTTCCTTATCGGGATTGTTTTGGATGTTGTCAAGCTAGTTGACACTTATACCATTCATGTTCCAAGTGAAGGCATCTCTCAGTTTCTGTCCATCGATTTCCATGTCCAGCCGGATGGGAACCAGCGCCTCCACCTGCGCTGCGTTCTCATGGATCACTGCGGGGTCGTGGTCATCAAAGCTGAGCAGACAACGACAACATCAGTGCCGCCTAAAGATGGTTCCACACGTCTCTCTATAATACAACACTCGCATGTTTCTGACAGTTCAAACTACTTTCAGGACAACTTGGCCTTTGTTCACCAGCTTCACCGCTCCCTCTACCTTTAATATGCTGCAGTTTCCCTGATAGAATCCTCCACACACTAGTAGAATGGTGAATGTGGTGAAAGGTCAAGATAAATACTGTTTTCATATACAGTATAAGATTCATAAGAGACACCCTGCTGTTCCAGGTCATAATGTCACTAAGGTATGTCCAAAGTCTGGCCCGTCCTCAGATTTCATATGGCCTGCAGCTTCGGTCTTATAATGTCATATTGATGGCCCTGTAGGACGCTCAAACAGAATACATCTTTCAAATGTATTTCCTCCTTTCCCGCATGGCGGCATCCCCCGCTCTAAGGGCCGCTCTCCTGCCGCACTTTGCCTTTTCTGTTAAAGACGCTGCTTTTTGGTTCTGGGTGGATCCGCAGTAAAACTTTTTCAGTTACCTTTGTTTGTGGGCCTATGAACTGGATTGAACTTTTGTTGGGGTTGTAACCAGCTGGACTCTTTGCTAAAGCGGATTGAACAGTATATATTGACTCTTTTCACGAAACACTGCACACACACAGCACACACACTGCACACACACAGCACACACTGCACACACACCGATCTTAAATGTCTGGTTTTTCCCCATGAAATATATCTGACGAAAATGAAAATTGATGTGTGATTTATTTTGTATTGCATTTCGGTGATGGAGATATTTCCCGAATTAATTCATTTGTGTATGGTTTGGCTGAAACATTTCTGTTGAATATTTTTAGATGATTATTTTTCAGACCTGATTCTGACTGGCACCCCAGTTTACTAAAAACAGGTCAAACCCGCTACAAAGTTAAGGTATTTCCAATAGTCTGTTCAATGTTATCTGACTCCAGATATGAATTTGTTTTTAGGGTTGTTCACGCTTGCCTGAGTGGCTTATATTTAGTTATATTGTCTTTTGAAAAATAAAGATAAATGTGACAATGAAAATGGTGATATAACAGTGTATTTGTATGTTATTTTTATGTTTAAAAAATGTCAGAAGGGACAATGGCCCCCGGGCATATTCACATTATCAAATCTGGCCCTCTTTGAAAAACCATTGATGTAATTGATGATACTGAGGTAGCCCTGGTTGCCCTGTCCGGACTCTTCCTCATCACCAGTTTGTTTGTTCAGTACCAGTTCTTTGCTCTCATATCAAACAGTGGCTGGAATATTTGTTTAAAACTGGAATTTTGTTTCCATACAATCTGAGAGGGCTAATTGTACTTCTTTATCTTACAGAATGTGACTGTATGTAAACCCTGTACATGACACAATGAGGTTGGATTAACAGCAGCTCAGAGTGCAAAGCCACAGCTGTCTCACCACAGGGGGAAGGTCCTCTTCTTGTCCCGGCCCATGCGGTTGCGGTTGATGGTGGTGGAGCAGGGCACAGCATCCAGGTGGTGGGAGCTGTTGGGCAGGGTGGGCACCCACTGACTGCTCCTCTTGCCCTTCTGCTCCCTGAGAGAAGGACACACGATGTTGACAAGGGTAATAATACAAATGGGTGGATGATGTATTGAATATATCCAGTATATTCAAATATAATTTACGTGCAATGTCACAAGATGTATTTAACTTTAATTCGATTCTCTATTGAATAATATAGTTATGCTTTAAAAGCAGGCCGGGTTAAATGCAGGACAGACGGACTGAGGCACGCACACTCGAGTTTAGGGATGCTCCGATCATTCGGCCGCCGATCGATATCGGCCGATACTCACTCTCTGCCGATCGATCGGTGCTCTCTAAAAATGCCGATCGCGAGAGCCGATCGCATGACGTAAAATACATGACACTTTTCTCTGTGCACGGCAAAACAAGCTCGCCAAAATGGCGTCACCAGTCTGGCAGTATTTTAAGGTGTCCGAAAAAGACAATAAAATAGCGGTATGCAACGTGTGTGAAGCAGAAATCCTGCAGCTCCACCCGCTGTGACGGACCGGTGAGCGGAGCAACACACACAAGAGTTAGACCTAACACACTTAGCTATTTGATCTACATCTGGAACAAGCTAAACTAGTTATAAATATATTTATTCTTCACTGTCGGCCTCACACATTACTGGATCAGTGAGCTGCAGGAGATACTGTCAGGCTGTCAGGGGAGAGAGAGAGAGAGAGAGAGAGGGAGGGGGAGAGAGGGAGAGAGAGGGAGAGAGAGAGAGGGGGAGAGAGGAAAAGAGAGCGCTTCAGCTCATTTCTCCCGTGTTATTATCCAAAGTTAATGTAAACTTGAATAATGTACTTCATCTGAATGTAATAATTATGTTGGTTGTTGTTTGTGGAAGCGCCAGTAAATGAGCCCCATTAACTGAGTTTAATGGCGCGTTTCCACTACACGGCCTCGCTCGGCCCCGCTCGGTATGGCTGGGCCTCGTTAGGACTGGCTCACTTTATGGCGCATTTCCATTACAGTTTAGGAACTGGGGCAGTATCTATAGTAACGCAGTGTAGGCGGAGCCGTGACGTGATCTTCAGAGGACCCCAGAAACACAACACAGCCGTTAGCTGTTAGCACTCAGAGCTCACAGCTCCTCATATCTGTTCAGAAACTAGACAAAAGTTAAACAAGTACAAACCACAGACTGCCTGTGTCATGGCGAATACAGTCGCTGCTTTATTTATGTCTGTATAGGCCGTTGTTGTGAGTGTGGACGGTCGGAGCATATATTGCGTTAGCTTAGCCAATCTCCATTTAGAAAACAAGCATTTTAAAAGGTTTTTCGCCTGCCGTCTGTCTGCAGACTTGTCAAAGCATTAATTCATGGTTTTTACTAACCGGTATCAGTATGTTGTTACTTCGGCATCATTTTGAAACGTGTATTACAATTAAATCACGGTCAAATATGTTCATCTTGCTGTAGTTGTAGCCCCCTTGCCAGCGACGCTCTCTCTAGTTTAGCATACTCAGCCCGACTCAGCCTCGTTGTCTCTGGCCCTGGACCCACGATTTTATGAGGCCAGAAAAACTGTGAATTAGGACCCGCCGGCCGGTACCAGGCCAAGTGGAAACGCAACCAAAGACGGGCCGCTGACGTCACAGCCCTCTTAAACCGGGCTGCGCGCTGTAGTGGAAACGCGCCATTAAACATCACTTTAAATGGAAGATCCCCATAGGCCCCGCCCACTCGATCGGTATCGGCCGATACTGATTCCGGCGATCGGCCCCAAAATTGTCGATTGGAGCATCCCTACTCGAGATACTGTACATACAGCTCTGGTCCACTGCAAAATGTGCAGTTTCTCTGGTTTGACTATTTATAGGTCTTTTTTAAATGTTATTCTATAAACTACTGATAACATTTCTGTGTTGGAATTCAACAGACACTGGAATGGAATGGCTGCCGTACATGTAGAGATTGAGGTTTAATACAAATTTGGAGTGGTCTCTTCATTTTTCCAGAGCTGTATATATACATATATATACACACAAGATATTATTTGAAGCTGCATTGCCCTGCACTATTGCACAAGCAATTATGTGTTGTACTTCCATAAAGTTAAAGGATTCCCAAGAAAAAAGTAAGATATCCTGAATTCTTGCAAGCTCTAAAACAAACAGAACCAACAGTTCAATATCAGGTAATCAGATATATGTCCTTCCAATCGCCCACCTGCAGTTATTCATGTGGGCTTACTGGTATCATTGTGATGAAATGATGATGACAGGTTTTGGAACACTCCCTTCATGAGGTTTTGGGTTTTAGTGCGGTTTCCCTTTAACCTCTATCCATCGATGGTAGACCTAATGCCAGTGCAGAGAAAAGTATGAAGGGTCTCTGGATGGTTGCCGTGCAAGCTACAGGTTTGGATAACACCTACATATAGAGCAAGGGGGAAAAAGTGTAATTATAACAGAACTAATAAGTCAGCTTTACCTGAGGTACGCCGGGGGCTCTGTGCTGATGGACACCGCCTTGTATTTCTCATCATTCCCCTCAAAGATCTCCTCACACTCTGAGGCCTTCAGCAGAGTGACACTGGTGGCTACACACACACACACACACACACACACACACACACACACACACACACACACACACACACACACACACACACACACACACACACACACACACACACACACACACACACACACACACACACACACACACACACACACACACACACACACACACACACACACACACACACACACACACACACACACACACACACACACACACACACACACACACACACACACACACACACACACACACACACACACACACACACACACACACACACACACACACACACACACACACACCTCAGTGGTGTTAAGTAACTAAGTAGATTGACTCAAGTACTGTACCTAAATACAATTTTTAGACTCCACTTCGAGCGATAGAATGACTAACAAAGCACTTATATACTAACAAAGGACTGGCTTATCTAAAGCCAGTTGAGTAGCACTTGAAATGTTTTGGCTCTATGAAACCTGATGTGCTTATATGATTTTGTTTTCTTCCAGTTTGTATCTTCTTGGTCGAATGCACTTATAAGTCGCTTTGGATAAAAGCGTCAGCTAAATGTAATGTAATGTAGGTACTTTTTCTTGACTGTAGTATTTCAGTTCCACCTGGAGTAAATTCACAAGCTATATATATATTATTCTGAAATGGACCAATCTGCACAATGACTACTTTTACTTTCACTACTTTCACTATATTTTCATGCTAATACTTTTGTACTTTTACTTGAGTAACATTTTGAATGCAGGACTTTTACTGTAACAGAGTATTCCTACACTCTGGTACTTCTACTTTTACTTGAATACAAGATCTGAGTACTTCTACTTTTACTTGAGTACCAGATCTGAGTACTTCTACCTTTACTCAAGTACCAGATCTGAGTACTTCTCCACCTCTGTCATGGCTACATTTACAGTTGTAACTAATGCGCCAGATTATCCTGGTTTCTTTGGATGGTCTGTCAGCTGGTTACCATGGCAGCTATCTTCCATGTTAACCAGCAGCTAAGCAGATTCACCACCTCAACACCATTCTTCCTGATAAAGTCAAATCTGAAACTGGCTATTGGTGTAAAATATGAAGATGTTTTTACCTTACACATACCCTTGAGATAGTGTTTAGGTTGAATACTCACTTTAATATGAAAACAGTTTATAGCAGAATGATCACACATGATAGACAACCTATGGAGCGTTCAGACTAGAAGTGGCCCATAATGACTTGATCAGTATCCGGTGTAGAAAACCCAAAGAGACTCACCGTGTGACGATGCTACGATCTTCTTCCTCTCCTCCACGGAGGCCAGCCTCCTCCATAAAGATGGGTATCTCTTATACAGAGATCCTCTGAACATACGCAGGTAGTTTCCAACCTGGAGACCAAACCAAAATGAAAAACAATAACAAACAAATAGAAAAATAAAAACCTCAAGAAACACAAATCTTCTCTTAAAATGAAATAAAACCATATGGTTCTCTGGTTATCAGGAAGATAATAAACAGGGTTATCTACATTTTCAATACTTCTAATTAAAATGAATCACTGTTTTGGAATCCGATCAACAGGAAATATATAAAGTACATCATGTATTAATGAAGTATGATTTCAACTATAAAAACATGAATGACTGATTGCCAAGTGTTTCTCTCCTTTGAAAGACATATTGAGCAGAGGTGTTTTGGGACCAGCTGTTCACAGGAACTTCTCCCCCAGGGACAACATACACTTTTCCTCTGAAATGTAGTGAAGTAGAAGTACAAAGTAACAGAAACTGTAGTACCCCCCAAATCATACTAAAGTACATTACTTGAGTACATTTCACCACTGTCCAATAGCGGAAGGTTTAGAATGTACATAAAGTACAGTTTACTACTGTGGACATTAATGAAAAGCTTTAAATATTGCTTTAAAAATGAACATCTTAAGTGGTTTAGCTTCAAAAGTGGTTTCAATGTTCACATGATGAACCATATCAATATCAAAAACAGGGGATAACACATTTATTCTCAAAGGAAGTAAGTTACCCTATTGCACGTTACCGTTACTTCATGTTGATGCAACTTAATGGTATAGCATCTCACGCCATCATCTCTATAGCAAAACAGCAAAAGCTCATGTTGTTAGCTGTTATTAATGAGCTTTTGAACAGAATAGAACATGTTGCGTTGAGCGGCAGCTCTCCGGCCGGTTTCATGTGTTTCTTTGTTTATGAATCTATGGGCTGGTTAGCATGCTAGCATCAACTAGCCAGAATAATAGATAACCGAGGCTTAAATTACGGAGCTAAGCACTCAGAGTTAATGAAAAGATAGTCACATACCTCTGACCCAACCATGTAAAAGTCTCCATCTTCTTCTAATTGAAATTTAACTGGTTTCTGGCCAAACGTTTTACTTAGAGCCAGTTGCATCTTTACGCTTTGCTAAAGCAAGCCTGCTCTTTCAGATGCGTTTGGGATCTACAATAAAGCTGGGAAATAAGAGTATCTCCTATGTCACTTCATCTGTTGAATTTAGCAAACACCAGCTAGAAGCATTACAACTGCCCACTAAATGTACAATTGCAGAAAGATAAACTACAACCAACTCAAGCCACTATTGGACACGACCGCATATACAATATCATCCATGAACACATCCCTTAAATCCTGTCTTCCGAAAATTACGAACGCAACATTTGACTTACTCTTTCGTTACAAGGTAGAGGAACAATATCTACAGCCCGTTAGCGCCCCCACTGATCTACAGTGAGATCACACTGAACTCATCTTTGAAGTTGTAAAGTTAACTTTAATGTGTATCTGGCATATCGTTTAGGATAAATAAATCTAATGTACTTTATACAAAATGCTGTAATAGTAAGATCAAAACAAGACACTCAAAGCATGTACATAAATGATATACAAATGTTAACATAATTTTTGAAATACAGTGCATTTTTAGATAAGATAATAACTTGGCTTCCATGTATAATGATATTCTGTAAAAATGTGTAAAGCTGTTTTCTTAAGATTATTGGGAAGTTCAAAAAACAACATATTAACACCATCACCTGTAAATAAAAAAACAAACACTTCATTACAGTCCATTACTCATCTCAGTCTGCTCTACAATAGTCCCAGATTAGTAGAAACTACATTAAAGGCCCACATGTTATGATTCAGTACAGAAATAAAGACAATACAAGGGTTAATTCCTACTATCAATTGGACAAATGCATCACCACATATCTTTCATCCCTTCTCAAGAGCAACACACAGGCCAATCATTCTTCATCAGGGTTTATAATCCATTCCCACATGCTGCATGGCCAGTGAACCGGATCACATGGTAACATACCAAATGATGTTGTCATACACATGAGACTCATCCGTTCAGCGTATGACAAACCTACATGTATCTGATTTAAGGCTGTTTGTATAAAGGAATACAAAGCTAATTCAGCTGTGAAAACTTCACCGTAATTGATGGATGATGAAAAGCTAAAGTTGAGGACACAGTACAAATCTTGATATCTGTATACAACAATGACCTGCTGTGTCACAGAATAGAGTTACAGGGTCTACTGACCCTCATGTTATTTGTATGAATCAGTTCATCTCATTGAGACATCTTTGGTTTCCAGCCAAACTGCAGCAGTTCAAAGAGATCAAACCAAAGCTTCATTTGCCACACACATTTATTTTTTTTAAAAGGTAAATGAGAAAGAAAATGCACTCGCAATCTGAATAAATTCACTTTGCTATTTTATCACCGTCATGTTTTCCATTTATATGACAGTTGTTTTATATCAATATTTTTTTTTTTTTATATGAAGATGAACATCACCTGAGCCCAGAGGCTCTCATTCCAGAGTTCCATGTGAAGAGATCTTCTCTTAAATAGTCTTAGAGCAACCATCTTGCTTCAAGAAGAGTTTCTGGGGATGATTTGAGCCCATATACAAAGACAACAGACGGTTATCTCAAAAGCAGCTCTGGCTGTTTGGCATTCTTCATCCACAACTAATCAAACAAGTCAGAAACAAAGACCATGTTTGTCCCTTCATCTCTCTGAGGGAATGTCCTTGGAAGTGACCTAATAGACAGGGACCGCCTGGGGGCCGTTTAACCTCCAAGGCGCTGTCCCTCTCCCCAGGCAAACCCCCCCGGGCGCTCCTCCGGCAAGGGGTTGTAGTTGGCATCTTCCTCTGGTGTGTCAAACAGCATCTTTCTGTGGGGGACAGAGGAGGATGTAAACGCTGATCTAGAGCAGCAATCAGGCCAAAGTCTACACTCAGTCAAACCTAAGAAGGTTCAGGATCCTCAGAGGAAAACTCAAATATTCCTACACTTTCAAATTGTAGGGTGTATAATATATTGAACAATACTCCAACTAGGATCTGTCAGTAACTCTGTGCAATACACCATTTGACCTCTGTTATCTAGCTTCTACCACACTTCATTCTATGTTACTCTTAATTTAGTTCATAAATAATGCTGCTGCTACTTTTCTACCTGAATGTGTACTTTGTAAATTATAATCTTTTTTATAACGAATGTGTACTTTGTAAAGTACACTTTTTTTTTTTTATGTGCGTGCCTTTTATCTAATCTTAATTTATTTTGTAATCTCTATCTTTACTTTTGCTGTAACAATGTCCCCCTGTGGGATGAATAAAGGTATTCTGATTCTGAATCTTACATGCTTACATCTTCAGTTTTATTCACCAGAAATGTAAGAAGACCCTAGAGACTCACATGATGGACGGGGTCCTCAGCCATCTTCCACCACCCGGCTGGTTGGGGAAAACATCCTCCAGAAAGAAGTACACATGACCCACAGCGATACCTTGAGAACGTTTAAACACATTAACACCATCACTGTTCAGACTGTAGAACACCAACCACCACAACTCGCTCTGGATCTTAGCACATCACTGAAATACTGAGTAATGGCTGCAGGCAATAGGAATAGGTACCTAAAAGATCCACAATGATGGAGTTGCCCAGCAGAAGTGAGAATCCCATCAGCACCCACGGTAGGAAGGGTGCCTGGAAATTGAGCAGGCCGAAGAAATTCATGCGAACGTTGGGGTTCCTCCGGCTCCACACGTACACCAGCATGATGGTGAAGGCTTGGCCCAGGAACACCAGACTCACAAACGTTCCAAATATCTGAAACCTGGTTAAAGAACATGGCACAGACAGGACTCTGGACATGGAGGGTTACGGGAGAACTCAAACATGTCGCTGTCTGACAGGAGCTGACATGGAGCAGCTTTACTTTATGACAAGAAGCTGTCTGAGCTGGGGACGTTTAAGTGGTGGTCACTGGTCAGTAATCAAGAACTGTACTAAAGTACCATTTTGTGGTACTTGTACTTTACTTAAGGATTTCCATTTTATGCTACTTCATACTTCTATCCACTACAATTTAGAAGCCAATTCTTTACTTTTACTCACTACATTTATTCAACACAATGAATTACTAGTTACTTCACAGATTCAGATTATTTGCTAATACAACATATAGATAAACAAATACATAAACTATGATATATAATTAAAGGTTAATATATCCAGTAGTAGTACATAAAGTAACTAAATGAGCTCTGCCTTTACCAGCAGTGATGAACACATTAATGCATGAATAATAATAGTCATCGAATATAGGAGATTCTGAAAGGGGACATTACGCATTAAAAAGTACTTTTACTTTTGGTACTTTAAGTATCATTTGATGCCAATACTTTTGTACTTTCCTTAACAACTTTTACCCAAGTAAGATTTTGTATGCAGGACTTTTACTTGTAATAGAGTATTTTTACACTGTAGTATTTCTACTTTGACCTAAGTAAATAATCAGAGTATTTCTTCCACCTCTGGCATCAAGGGACATCTATACTCTAAGTGGCCTACATGCATGCATAAGAAGTTGTGGAATTGTTCTCTAAAGACCTCACTACCTGCATGTGAGAGTGGTCTTTTATTGAAACATTGTTGGGAAGGATACAGTCATGAGAAGCCCCCCAAAGAGGAACATGAAGACAAAGTCAGCCGTGCGGCCCCTAAAGGAGCCCTCCTCCAGCATGCGACAGTATCTGTACCTGCAACAAAGCGTTAAGGAAATCTACACAGTAACACAACCATTGTACACATCTCCACCTTAACACTGAAGAAGTGCCACACCATAGTATTTGTATCATTGCTCCTACATTAGGATCTGTATGATGTAATATTGACTTTATGTATACAGTCTATGATATTGACACTGTCCTGCCACCTCAGAAGCCACATGGAGGCCTTCCCTGTGAAACAGAAAGTATGCAAACATACTTCACATGCAAACTAAGTGAGACGTGGAACTGAGAAGGATACAGAAATATCATATTGAACAGGAAATTGAAGCCAACTGGACCAAAAAACAGGAAGTTGGTTATTAGTCGCCATACCTACAAAAAGAGAAAGAAAGAGAACATTCATCTGTACATGATAAAAACACAGAGTAGCAAACAAATCCTGCTCATTTCCTTCATTCAAACATTTTAGAGGCTGTGTTTAAAGCTAGGGTGGGTCATGTATTTTAGAAACATGTTGTAGTTAGAATTGAGGAAATACTCCTAACATCCAAACAGCAATGAAAAAATGTAGTGCTCCGATGAAAAAGAAAACAATATGGCATCTGTGGATGTTGCAGGACGGTAACAACTGAAATGACTGTATGTCTACCTGCATGAGCTCTGCCCTGATAACAATGGTCATGTTAGGTGTTTATGTTCATAATAATCATTTTGGGACGGGCTGTCAATGTCCAACATCAAGACTTTCTCTCTAGATGTAAACCCTGTTGGAGCTAGAGCTGTTAGCTGCTCTCAATGGGAACATAGGGCTAGGTGGTTTGAATGGACAGATGCTTGTTGTTGCTTGCTGCCTTCTTCAGTGTTAACTCCCTGAGCTCTAAGTGTTCAAAGAGCTGCAGAGAGCCAGCAGAGATGTGAAACAGGCCACATGACATGAAGGATACATATCAGGCTCACAGCAGTGTGTATCAGAAACTTTACTTTGAAGACAAATATAATAACTCATTGTATTTGTTTGAATCACAGGTGATGACCACTGATCTAGGTAAACTACAGTTTTAATGTAATATCATATAACATTGATTTAACTTATTGTTGTTATGAAATCCAATTAAGTTATCATTTTTGTAGACAAAATTGACATGGATAGTATTTAGAAACTGCTCCTTTCAATATCATCCAGCTAGATGTGTGTGTGTGTGTGTGTGTGTGTGTGTGTGTGTGTGTGTGTGTGTGTGTGTGTGTGTGTGTGTGTGTGTGTACACACATGCGTGCGATTGACAGCAGCTGACAGGTAGCCAATGGGCAATTGTTACGTTTTTGTGCATGAGATAAGAAGGAGACTTTAGCAGGAGAGTTCATGGGGGGGCTGTTGTTGTCATAGACTGCAGACCTAACTGCTTTATGCTTGATTTGATTGGCTGTGTCATTATAAAGCTACGTAGACAGATGCAATCATTAAACCAAACATATACAATTGAAATGTATCCCTTCAGGTTTCAGTTTTTCTTAGGAGGACACCACAGGACACGATTTACAGAAAATATATGTAGCATAA